GGTACCTAGATCCGGTAGGTGATGTGGGAGAGCGGGGTGGGTGTGTAGTTGGGGGAGTGTCGCGTGTGTGATATCCCGTTTACGGCGTCTCCGGGGGGCCCGAGGGACCGCGACTACAAAGTAGACAAACTATGCGGATTGTAACGGAGATCATCGTACATACATAGCTAGCTTAGCCACGCGCATGGTGACGCTGTGGGTGCGGCGCGGTGCTTTGCCGTTCCTCACGTGAGGCTTGTTTCGCGGCGCCCTTGGGTGGTAGATAAGACTGGCACAGCGATGGAGCTCTGTGTTTTGTAATTGTTGCTCTAGTGGGCCAGCCGGTCGGAGCAAGGGGTTAGACGGAATCTACTTGTAACCAAAACCAACTTCTCCCTTCCCCTGAGCCGTCTGAAGGGCCATTACACTTCTGTCTATCGTCATCCACCTTCCCGGCTAACTCAGTTGGCGCCAAAGACATCCAATACCTAGGTACCTATGGCAGCATAACATGAGACGAGTAAAACGTAAACTAGAATAATACAATATTAGGTCTCAATGCTTTTCGTACTGGAACTGTGAAACGGCTCTCTCGCCTACCCAACCAAAGCCTTTATTTCGTAATTATCCCCGGCCCAACCACAATCCGGATCCGTGTGTGTAAGCTTTTGTGGATAACAAACCGGGGACCATATTTGGTGATCCTGTTGCACAAAACGGGTGGCTGAGGATACGGTACGGCGGGTCAATGACAGGGGCTTATTGGGCCCACCAGACTGGGCCCAATGCAGCGTTTCTCAGGGCACAGAGGATCTCCTTTCTTCCAGTTACATCAATCAGACTGTCAGACAATTGCATCACGAAATGAAGCCTCGTATCAGTGACCTTGCTTGCACTACGTTGCGCGCCCTGTTCAGAAGTATCGCTACTCTGGCTGTTGGATTTCCAACAGATCCTGTTGCACAAAACGGGTGGCTGGAGATACGGTACGGCGGGTCAACGACAGGGGCTTATTGGGCCCACCAGACTGGGCCCAATGCAGCGTTTCTAAGGGCACAGAGGCTCTCCTTTTCTTCCAGTTACATCAATCAGATTGTCAGACAATTGCATCACGAATTGAAGCCTCGGATCAGTGACCTTGCTTGCACTACGTTGCGCGCCCTGTTCAGAAGTATCGCTACTCTGGCTGTTGGATTTCCAACAGATCCTTGTCCCTGGCTAATACGAGTCTTCAATATGGAAAGTGAACCCCACAGATCGGTGGTATTCATTGCTGCCGGGTAGGATTGTCGCTATTCCTTCCGGCTTATGGTTGGATCTCTAACTAAAACCTTGGTCTCCATGCTCTTACTTGTTCTATTTTGTCATCCCGACTAACAGTGCTACGCCGCAACAAAACATGGCTATCCCGCCGACGCTACGCCACTGTCCTGACTGCCCTAACCTTGTCACTACAACACATTCGTCGGTAATCAGAGGGTCCAATACCCATGACTAGCGTACCAGATGGTCCAAGGGGAACACAATACAACATACAACTGGGCAACGTATAGGCATTTTCCTCTGTTATTAGGTGACCATTGATCTTAGTATCTAGTTGGTACTCACGGACTTTGAATACTATGTATAGAATTTATTCACTATCTCTCTTTGGAGTGAAAATGATATTAGTTAGCAGGACGGAATCCACTTAACTAATCTTTGGATCTACCAAAGTGGCACGGAAAACCCACTCGCCACCTATACAACTCGCAGTCCCGACAAACCGTACTCCCCGTGGATCCGTGGAGTCTTGGGATCTCGTTGCGGCGCAAGGTCTCTCTATCGATGAAACATAGGCCCTATCCATTGCCTCGGCCATGCTCAAGTCACAGAATCTCATCTCCGCCACGGCCCGAGTGTTTTGTCTTCATGGCCCGGACACTGGGCCGTGACCCATTGTTCATTCTCAACTATTTTTGTACGCCCGGGTTTTACGGCACCACTTGTGACTGGCGGTCTGGGTTTTCAGGGTGGGTATGAACAGCTTGAAACCTCGCTTTCGGCCGTGCCTTTCTCTTGACGCTGCCGGCCGGCTGGAACTCCATAGAGCAGGATGAGTGCGTCAGTCTAGCCAGTCTCGCCAGCGCGGCAGCGGTTGCCGGTTTACGAGAGGATTGCGGCATCTGGTTTGACACTTGGCCGACGAGGCCATCTCGAAGGACATGGAGATGGGCCTTTGGGATGATATCTCCACACCAAATTGCGTATATAAAGCCGTCTACTTCTTGTTGAGTATCATCTTTCCATTCAGCATCACTCACATCATCACATTCACATCAGACAGCAACACCACTTCCCACACACTTTCACTTGGTAACCACCCCTAGCCCAAACCTCCACTTCCACGTTGTCAATAACTTACACAACGCACAGAACACCAACAACCGTCACCATGCCCAACCGCGGAAAGTGCACCAACAGCATCACCAACCCCAACTGGACTCAGTGGAAGAAGGCAAACCCGGGCAACAAGCTCAACCCCAACATCGAGAAGATCGCCTGCCCCTGCCGGGCCTTTGTGGCCAAGGACGCGTCTAAGCCCGACAAGAAGTGCACCTGCAACCACGACAACAAGCTTCACATGCCTTGAGCCAGTCGAGAACGACGGGAGAGGGGGATTGTGAGTGGTTACTTGGCACGCTGGGGGAAGCTATCACCCGCCTGCTGGTCAGGGGTCGTGGGTGGGTGTGCCAGCTAGCGATTATCGCGGGTCGATGGGATGAGGATAGTAGTAATACACTGTGTACACCGGTTTAGTCTTTTCTGTATCGTCCTCCGTTGCTTTTCTCGATGGTAATGCGACACTGAATCACAGACGAGGGTATAAGTATCTCTTCCTGGACAGACTTCCTAGTGTCATTCCCAATCATTTGGTGTTTTATATGACAACGAAACTATCCGAGTCTTCAGGAAAATGCATATTTGGTAATCTGGCCGGGACCTTACTGATTTTATCATTGTTAAGGTGCACCGTGTAAACTGTGAAAGTGTCATTAACGGCGAGGGCAAAGTTGATCTCGTGGTTGTTGATAGCCAAGTGGTGGTCGTATCTATGGACAATACATGTACCATGTCACGTTAAGAGCGGTAGTGAATTTGAGACTTCTAATTTGAGATTTAGGTATTTACCGACCAACACAGAGTACGCCGCACTCGCAAAATGCAGAAAGTTTTTTAAATCAGCCTGCCTCACCCCCAAGTAGCCCGACGCTAGTCTACCCTCTCAATGATCTGCCGCTCCGAAGAGTGCGACGGCGCCCGGGACTGCCCTGCTGTGCCTTCCGTTGTCGATTCCAGCGTCATACCAGACGCCTCACCAATACTCACCAGGTCGCTGCCGCCATCCCCATCCCCCTCCACACCCGATATGGAGCCGCGCCGAACCCTCTGCACGGTAACCTCCGTCGTCATCATGACCGACGCCCCCGCGGGTTCCGCGAGCTCCACGCTCGGCCGCGCGCAGGACCGCACATGCACCCTGTTCCCCATCCCACTGCCGCCGCCGCCGGCCTGACTCTTCCAGTTCCTCCTCTGCTCCCCATCGAGCGTCCCCATGCGCACGCCGCTGCGGTCGACGGGGGTGCGGTCGTAGGAGCTGTCGTGGCCCGAGGTGCCGCCGCGGGTGATCTCGACGAGGCGGTTGAGGACGCTGAACTCGAGCTTGAGCTTGATGCTGTAGGCCAGCGCCTTGCACGACGTCTGCACGTCGTACAGGCCCGCGTACTCGAGCGCCAGGATCGTCACGTCCAGCATCACCACGATGATGTTCACCGCGATCAGGTGCGTCATCAGCCACCGCGCAGCGCTGCCCCGCGCGCCGCCGTCCATGCCCCCCCCGCTCCGCGTCCGCATCAGCTCGACCGTCTCGTGGATGTACAGCGCCGAGATGATGGCCTCCTGGATGAAGAAGAGCGTCACCTGGACCCGTTCGTAGACGGAGTAGGGGGCGACGAAGGGGTCCGGGTTGCTCGAGTTGGCCCCGTAGACCATGACGGTGATGGGGATGTGGCAGATGATGGCGTTGGTGATGATCATGATCAGCACCATGCGTAGCCGGCGCTCGTTGCGCAGCACGAGGTGCAGCCGCGAGTACAGGACGACGGATTGGCCCGTCACCATGCAGCACCAGCCGACCACGATCATGGTGACGTAGAGCCAGTTGGGGCAGGGTGATTGGAGCGCCTTGATCAAGAACCCCACGGCGTACGGCACGATGCCCCCTGTGGCGACGACAAAGCTCCAAAAGTAGAGGCCGCTGCGCCGCTTGAAGGTGGCCATGATGATGAAGGCCAGTTCGCCAACGTTGTAGAGCGCCACGCTGATGAAGACGACGATGATGGTCAGCGTCGTGCCCGTGGGGACACTCTCCCGGGAGATGCCATTATCCTTTGGAGCCATGGCAGTGAAAGGCCCTGCGCTCCGTACGGTTGAGACTGACAGTCGAAATAAACCCCCTTGACGAAACGGGGCGCGAAACCGGGCGTGCCCCGGTGGTTGGTATCAGAATAGAAGACAGTCGGGAGGTTGAGGAGCCGCAGATTCGGGCGGGTAGTTTCTTTGATATCATGGTCAGAACTTTTCTCACGAGACAGACATACATGGAAAGGTGCAGCAAAAGCTTGCCCCTTTTCGTCCCATGAAACATGATGCCGGGGTATCGAGAAGCTTGTGATCGCCGTGGCCCCAGCGCCTTAGACAAACGATTGCAAAAGCACAATTGCCCGAAAGCGGGTTAGAGCCAGCCATGCAACCATTATGCGAATTTTTTGATCCAAGGAACCCAGGCTGTTGGTTAGTGCGAGGGGCGAGCCCCCCGTTTGTGCCTCACCGGTTTCAGGGGCGCCACCAGTGCTGCGTCTGCCTTGAAGATCCCCGAGGTCAGAGCACCATGGCGTCGGAGCTACTGGAATTCTCCGTTCCAATCGACTCAAGTCTGACGGAAGGCCCTGGAGGCGCTTTAGCCAATGAACGATCCAGAAGATCCGAGAGTTCAACACTCAAGAATGGATCAGAGAGAATCCCAGGAGAGATCCCGAAGATCCAGGTATCTCCGAGGGTATGTATTTGGGGAAAGGGATAGTATATAATCACTCGTTACGGAGGACCCTGGTGGTTTCTCTAGCTTACACCAGAAACTCCAGTCCGCTACTGACCGAAGACATGATTGTTATATACACGGTAGGTACCCTTTGGCCATACCGAATCTAGCACCCTTGTTTGCTTTCAGTCCGCCTGAACTCTTCTAGAGTTGAACCCAGGAGAGATTTGCCACAATCCCCGCGGCTCGGCAGTCCTGTCACTCACCTTGGCACCGTGGATGGCGGTCCATCGAATGCTGGAACGGAACCAACTTCGGCGCTGCACCGATTGGTCTCTGTCCTGAATAAGACCACTAAAAAAGCTAAAAGCTTGACTGCAACAGCCCCCGTCGCCGGTGCCTTGCCCCTTCTGGCCAGTCCCGCTGAGAGCTTTGGGTATTAACGTTGCTGGTCTGGTCTTCAAGATTGGCAATCCGCCTAGTTCACTTTAGTGACTTCATCCAAGACTGCTAGTAGGGTATGTATTTTCGAGATTGAATTGGAATGGTTGATGTCCCAGGGGGGCAAGCTTAAGTTGTACGTAACCGACCAGTGCTAAGATGTCAAGGGTATGTATCTGTGAAGGTCTTCTTTTCTGGTGAGACTTGGTCGGAAATGAGAGCCCCTGTGTCCGGATCCGAAGCAGTGACGGGCCCGAATGGTTTGCACCCGACCTCACGAGCAGCCTTGGCGGGGAGTGGGATCGCCGATTGTCCATGAGGGGACTGACCAGCACTTAGCGTACACTAAATGCTAGCCCGAGGGCTGGGAAAAAAGAAACTACTTTGAGGGTTTCTTGCCCAACGCGCGACACGTGGAGTCTTGAACCCTACGGGACCGTCTGGGGAAGTGGGGATGTCGATGGCTCTTCGATGGAAATGTTCCATTGTTCCATTGGATCCCAGTGAAGCGGAGTGGGCCTGGTGTGTTATGCATACCATGCATTAAGAAGGATATGTCTCTCACTCACGGGTTATTCCGCGAGAAGTCCGGACGTTACTGGAGGATGTCTTGTCTGTCGTCGAGAAATTGACCTACTTCCCTTCCATCACGGAGCTCTCGGCGGGAGGGGGCAGGCTGAACCCTCTTGGGAAGGACAACGGCGGACGGCAAGGGCGAGAGTATGGGCTGTAGGTTACACAGTAACGATGGAGGGAGCAGGAACTGTTTGAACCCTTAACAAATTAAACGCCGCGCCAATGCCGTGATATCCAGCGTCTGCTCTAACGAAGCAGATGGCCGAGTATTGTACACTCACTTGCCCATCCTTCCCCAACCGCCCTTCATCCACACCCCCGACCACCAAACCAACCTTCCTTCACCTCACCCCCTCCCCTCCCCCTCCCCCTCGTCCATCTCAACATCGGGATCCACCTCCGTCCCCAAATCCCTCTCCTCCAAAAACCGCCTCCCCACCAACCCATCGGGCAAATACACCTGGCGCACCCTCCCATCCCTATAATTCGGCGGATACTTATACTCGGCCCCATAGCCCATATCGCGCATCAACCTGGTTGGCGCATTCCTCAAATGCAGCGGCACGGGCAGGGCGGCCACGCCCGGCTCCTGCAGCGCCGACAGGGCATTATTCAGGCCCCTGTAGGCGCGGGTGCTCTTGGGCGCCAGACACAGCGCGACGGCGCAGTGGGCGAGCGGGATGCGCGCCTCGGGCATGCCGATCTGCTGCGTGGCCGTGTAGGCGGCAGTCGCGAGCGGGAGCAGGGTGCTGTCGGCGAGGCCGACGTCTTCGGACGCGATGACCACCATGCGCCGCGCGATGAAGAGCGGGTCTTCGCCGGATTGGAGCATGCGCGCGAGGTAGTAGAGGGCGGCGTCGGCGTCGGAGCCGCGCACGGATTTGTGGAAGGCTGAGATGGTGTCGTAGTGCTGGTCGCCGGCGCGGTCGTAGACGAGGGTTTTGGTGAGGGCCGCTTTGATGGATTCTTTGGTGACGGGTTCTGAGTCTGAGGAAGGGGGGCGGTTGGTGAGGGAGAGGGCGAGTTCGAGGAGGTTGAGGGCGGTGCGGGCGTCACCGTCGGCGAAGGAGGAGAGGTAGCGGAGGAGTTCTTGGTCGATGAGCGGGGATAGCTCGAGGCCTTCTTGCTCGACTTCTTGTTGAAGGGCGCGGAGGAGGATGTGTTGGATGTCGTCTTCGGTGAGGGACTGGAGGGTGAAGGTTCGGCACCGGCTGAGGAGCGCTGCTTGGACTCGGAAGCTGGGGTTTTCTGTAGTCGCGCCTATTAGAGTGATGGTCCCCGCCTCTACCGGCTTCAGAAAGACATCCTGTTGCCCCTTGTTGAACCTGTGGATCTCGTCGCAAAAGATGATGGTCCTCCGCCCAGTCAGGCCCAGCTCGTTCGCAGCCTCGGCAAACAGCTTCTTGCACTCAGCCACCCCAGTGCTCGTGGCATTGAGTTCAATAAAGCGACACCCCACGCGGCGCGCGATACACCGCGCGATGGTTGTCTTCCCGGTACCCGACCCGCCCCAGAGGATCATGCTGGGCACGCGGTCCGACTCGATCAGCGAACGCAGCACCCCGTTCGGCCCGACTAGGTCCTGCCCAAAAACATGATCGAGTGTGTCCGGTCGCATGCGCTCGGCGAGAGGCGCGGTGCGGGCGTTCTTAGACCGTTTCGCTAAGGGTGCGCCCGACCCGCCTGTGCCGTCGGCCTGCCGTGGGTCGGTTACCGGTGCCGCGGGCCCCTCCCCACCATCACCGTTTCTTGTATCTGTCGGGGAGCTGGTGTATCCCGGTCCATCATCATAGCTCCGCTTGGTACCGGCTTTCGGCCCAGCATTGCCATTGCTCTGGATTGTAGCCGCTCTCGCGGCCGTGAGCTGTCGCTTCGCGGCGGGGGTCTGGAAGAAGGTCGAAGCGGACCGCTTTTTCTGTGTCGAGCTCGGTGGTTGGCTTTGAGTGTTGCTCTGAGTGTTGTTCTGCGAGTTGCTCTGCGCGCTTGTCGTCGGAGGGGAAGCGGTCGGCTCCTTTGAATCGTCGAGGAGGAATGTCTGGCAGCCTGAGTCGATGTGGCTATTGATTTCGGTGGCCTTGACGCCCCGGTCGCAGATGGGGCAGACCACCATGGTAAGAGAGGGAGAGCAAGTCGGTAGCCAATGGCAAGAGTATGGGAGTTTGTCCAAGAAGGGGGGTAAAATGGGAATCTGTTCAGCCAAAATACTTGCAAGCCAACATCCAATGTCAAAGAACAAAGACGGGTTGTGCGGACGCTCAGGCGCGGATGTTTAATTGACCCAAACGCGACTTTTGGCCCCACTCTGCAAGGTCGCGGCCCGCCCGGCAGAGCCAGTGCTGGGATCAGTGTGGGGTCAGCTCCCGCTCCCACCCCGCCCCTCTTGAGATCGGATTGCCATGCTGCAAGACGGGATGGTCAGGTTTCAGGGTCGAGGGAACCATGTAAAGGACCAGAAAGCACACCTCATCAGCTCTGACAGAAAAGTTCAATCGCAATAAAGCTAACGTCATTCATTATGCTCGTCCAGAAACTCATACATCTAGGCAAGATATAACTATCCATGATCTCGAGCAAAAAGGCAAAAAGAGCGCTACAGCAGCGCATTAACGCCATTCTAATGCACCCAGCAAACGCAATCCCAAGCAATTGCATCGCACCCTCAGTAGAGCGGGGTGTCATCTCGAAGCATATGTCTCGAACCAAACCAAACTTAACTGTGCATTCCGCACGACGACGCAGAATAGCCCACATCCACGCCATCCCTCCCTCTTTCACCCACCCACTCAAACCATGAACGACTCTCCGCAACCACACTGTTCCTCTGCAATAGTTGTTAGCACTCTCTCCCTCACACACAAAAAATCAGACAGGAAGAATAGAAAACGACTCACTAATATTCGGATTCCGAAAAACAAACCTCTGGCTCAACTTATCCTCCACCCAATCCATCTCGCTCCCCAAAATGCTAAACAGCGCCTTGCTATCAATCAACACCTTCACGCCATCCTGCTCCACCGCCTCGTCGAACGCCCCCGGCCGGTCCACGAACTCGAGGTGGTACGCCAGACCCGAGCACCCGCGGTTGCGCACGCCCACCTTGATCAGCTTGGGGTCAGGCTGGTCGAGCAGCGCGCGGAGGTGCTCGATCGCGGCGGGCGTTAGGTTGATGGCGGCCTTGCGCGCGCGGAGCCGGGAGCGCGGGCGGGTGGTGCCGGTTGGTTTGGTGGTGGCGGCGGCGGGGGTAGGTTCTGGTGCTGGGGGTGTTCTTGTTTGTGCGGGTGTTTGTTGTTGTTGCTCTTGGTGTGCAGAGGGAGTTGGTTGGGAGGTTGAAGACGAGGGCGTCGCGGCGAACTCGGGCTTGGACTGCTGCGCTTCTTTTTCGGAGATGGAATTGCCTGCCGGCTCTGGCGGTGCGCCCTGCTTTGGTGACCTCGTCTCGTGAGTCCCAGGCATGCTCGGGTATTCTATCGGGGTTCCGATCGAGGAGTTGGGAACGGTGACATTGCGCGGGCCCGGTGGTGGGTTGGAGGGCAGGGTGTAGGCTTGGAAGGCGGCGACGAGGGAGGCGGGTGTCGTGGAGAACTGCCGTTGTCGCAAGAAGTTGCGCCGGCAGGAGAAGCAGACGGTGGCCGCTCTCCTCGACAGCAAGCTAGGTGCACTCATCGTGAACTGTGTTTTGAGGAACTGCGGGTGGCGAGTCACACAAAGATTGGTGGTTTGGCGAAGTTCCAATCATCCTGGGAAGACCGGCAATTTTGTTGATTTCAAAGGCGAAAGCAGCGCATTGCCATGACATGATGCCAAGCCTCGGTGCAGCCCGGTCGCCGCCGGACCAATGAGCACTTCGGCATTAGGAATCGTCCCGCAGGCCCGCTGCGCTCAAAAGTTGAGGACTTCCTCGGTCCAACCATCAACCGAGATTCAGGGCCAGGAACAGCTGAGCTGCGATCTCCAATTCCACGCATCACTCACTAGGAATCATTCCACTACCATCAAGACAGCCCAGAACGAACTCATCCAGTCCACAATGAGGAAGAATTAATTACCACTACACAACCCCCCTCCCCTTCAATCCCCAACCCCCAACCTTGACGATTGACACCCCTCATCACTCATCCATCATTCCTCCGCCGCTACCAACCCCCTCACATCTCCCACCGCCGCCCTCGCCATCTTCTTCAACAGCGTCCTCTCATCCGCCTCGCGATACTTTTCCCAACTATCCAGCCCCTCCTTCGCCTGAATACTCAGCGTCTCATAGCCCTGCTTAATCACCTCAGCCACCTGCAAGCTCGTCAACTGCGAGCCCCCACTCCCCACCCCCGCCGCCGCCGCAGCAGCAGAACCCCCTTTACCGGCCCCCTTCCCCGCATCGCCCCCCTCCACCAGCATCGCCTTGTAGTGCGTACTCACACTAACGAGGGTATCAATCGAGTTGCTCGGGCGATTGGCCAGGTTGTACGTGCCGCGGAACTTGACGAGCACGTCGCCGGTCTCGACGACCTTGTAAAACAGATCATCGTAGGCGGCGGGGGTGGGCAGGAAGGTCTCGCCGGCGGACAGGCCGAGGGCGAGCAGGTTGACGACGTGGTCGAGCAGGGTGTCGACGTGGGGCAGGTCCTTGAGGTCGGTGGCGTAGGTGGTGAGGAAGCGGACGAGCGAGAGCAGCGAGCGGAAGAGGTCGGCCCAGTGGTAGGCCAGCCGCGTGCGCGACCGCGACATGTAGCTGATGATGCGCAGTAGGATGCCCACGCAGAGTGTGTATAGGCCCACGTCGAGTCGCCGCCGGAGGTTGTGGTTGATGGCGTCCAGCATCGTGTCCATGACTGCGGTGGCAAGGATGCGCTCCGTCCGGACGAGCGGGAGGTAGGGCGAGCGTTGCCGGCAGAGGCGTACGGGCACCTTGCTATCTTCGCTGCACATGCGCTTACAGAGGATCGGGTCTTCGATGAGCAGCCGGAAGACCATTAGGTTGAGGTGGCAGTAGAGAGTGGTGCGCTGCGAGAGGTGGGCGTGCTGGAGGAGATACGACGTGAGGGAGATGAAGCTCGCGAACGGCTGTTCTTCGCCTTTTCGGGCGCCCAAGTAACCAGTTGGAGGCTGAACAGCTTTTTCGCATGAGTGAATTCGTAAGTAGCGAGGAGTACTGTTGTTTTTTGGCGGGTTTGGGGGTGTTCATCACCATCCAGTCCACCAGTAAATGGTACTCATGTGGTGTAGGGGGGGGGGGCATACAGCTCGGCAAACATCTTCTTGGCCGTCTCGGCATCGTAGACGGGTTTTGGTGGTGGCTTGCCCCCAGGAGCAATAGCCCCCAGCCCAATTTTGTTCAGCGTGCCCGCCAGCGTCCACCCTTCGGGGAGGTCCTCTTGAACTTCGATGTACTGCGCCCTCAGCCTCTGGCATGTCTGTCCGACGCTCTTGACAATACCCCGAATCACCCGCTCGTTGACGAAGTCGTTAAGCCGCATCTGGTACGGATTCTGGAACTCAAACTTGTTGTAGTTCGCCAGCAGCCCCAGTAGCATGAACGGCGACGTTATCTCGTGGGTTTCGGATAATATTTGTGATTGGACACACTGTGACTCGTCAGCTCAGCAACACACCCGCCAGTCCACTACCAGGCCACTCACGTTGATTATCGCCGGAAACAAGTCCCGCTGGATGAAGTAGGTGAGCAAGCTGGTCTGGTATGCCCCAGACGTGACCGCTAACGCCACCTCTACAGCCCTATACTGGAGGTCTGCCATGTACGTGCAGCCTGCCCGGCTCCCTACCCGCGACTCCTCCTGACCGACATGGCCTATGCCGTTCGGGCAGCACTCGTGTCCCGCGCCCCTCCCATTCCGGATGAGCGACTCCAATGCGCCGACAAACTCGGTGAAGACGGTGTCGATGTGGTCCAGACCAGCCAGCAGCTCGATGATGTCGGAACTTGGGTTCGTGTACTTTTTGGCGAGGACCGCAAGCATAAAGGTGCTGAGGTTCTGTCCAGAGCCAAGTCAGCTCTTCAGCCCGTGCAATTGGTGCGCATATTCCGTCGTTTTTGCTCACCTCTAGCGCGTGGAGGTCCGCGCGGCCAGACGGGTTGCGCAGTGCAGCAATAGCCTGCACGAACAGCTGTCTGGTCTGATGTTGAAGTTGGAGCAGGTCATTGGGCCCTATCTCGTCGAGAATCCGACGCAGTGATGACCGGTCGGGTCGAAGAATGAAGAACTCCTTCCAAAAGCCCGCCGACCGCTCTGCCTCGTCTGAATCGTCCTATTGTCCCAGGCTACCAGTTAGCGCTGGCTCGTCAGATGGCATCTGGATCATCGTATGCGCATAGGCTCGTCGATATTTTCGAAGGGAAGGGGCACTAACCTGTTCAAACAGGTTGCGACATGTCAGCGACCCGATATCCCCGACTTAACCTCTACAATGACACCCGGCCGCCCTCACAGGCTAGCCTTCCAGCAAAGACCAGCCATGAACGAAGGGAAGCGCAAAGGAACGGAACAGCTCAAACCTTGAATAACGCTTCATACAGGCGGACTATCTTTGGTTGGAACACCTCCGGCCGAGGCTGGTGTGTGAGAGGAGAGGGCTCCATGTGGGAAGCTCGAGCGGTACCGGGACGGGAGTGGGATGTCGGTGGTGTCAATGCAGGTCGAGAGCCAAACCACTGCGCAAGCCGCGCCATCGATAACGGACGATAACGGCGAGTCCACCGCAATATTTCCCACTGACAGGGGGAGGAAGGCTTGGCAGCTTGCCGGTCGGCTGGTTACAGTGTGTAACCGATTGCAATAGGCACGGTGTTGCTAGATGGCGATTCGATCGTCTCTTCTTCAAAACTAGCTTGAGGCGAAGTGGCAATAGATGATGCCGTCTGAATTTGTGAGGCGTGTAATTAGTTGGAGGGACAGGGAGATCCAAAGTTCAGAAAGAAAGCACACGTGGTGAGTTGGAAGTCCGGTTCTCAGCCGTGTCCAGGCAGAAAGTACGAACGAAGTCAGCACACAGATTCACATGCCAATGGCTGCTGCTGAATGCTGCTCTTCGATAGCCCCACCACAAGCGGCATGGCCCCGATTCAACACATCCGCAAACATCACCCCCAGTTCCTGGATAGGTAGACACAAGCATGCCAACCAGCATGAAACATTGGCTCGTGAGGGCAATGGATTATCTCGGTATCTAGTGTACCTTCTAGCGGCCCACCTCCTTGTTGAAGATCGCGATGAGAAGCCACGCCTTGCAGCAACCCTCGTCCAATATCCCCTTCCCCCTTCACCCTGCACACCACCAAAGACGTCCTCTACAGCCAAATTAAGGCTCCCACCTCAACAGGCGGGCAATCTATAGTCTGACTCTACTGAAGCCCAAAGCCACCAGTACGCCCTGTTCAGCTCTTAGATATCCCGCAACCCCTTGCACCATGTTTCTGTTTTCTCCAACCCCTTTTCTCTAGCAACCACCACCTACCACATCTCCCACCGGTCCTGAATGGAGCTGTTGAAGAAGTGCCCTCTCACAGGGCTACCTGGCATGCGCCAGACCACCATTAAGAAAGCACAAAATGGAATAGAAAAGGGTCATAAAATCGTCCAGGCCAATGCATGCCCCGCAGATATGCTAAGAAACTGGAGAAACTAAATGAGAAGAGAGAAACAAAAAAAAAAAGATGATGAAAAGGACGAACTAACCCCGAGTTCGCCACACCAACACCAGGCCGCAAAAAAGAGTGCACACCAAAAAAGCAAACACCCACCGGTATCAGGCAAGTATCAGTTAGTTTCGACGCGCAAGCATCAATACGGCATGCAGCCCAAAGCTCGCTTGAAGAAAAAAAAGACCCCCATATACCAACACCACCCACCCAGCACAGCAGCAACAACAACAACAACAACAACAACAGCAACACAGCAACTACCCTCCTAAATCCCCCAACTACCTCTCCGCTCCTGTACGCCCCAGGCCGACGGGCTGATGGCATTAAGATCGGGATGCTGGCGAGCCCACTCATAGATATACAGCTTGAGGGCCTTCCAGCGCTGGCATCGGTCCTCCTCCTTGACGCCGTCCTTAGCCTCGCTGTCAAGCATGAGGTGGCCCCTAACGCCAGACTTCTTCCCCGTCGTAGCAGCCGCAGCCCCATCCATCCCACCGTCCTCGCTCGACCCATCCCCATTAGCCCCCCACAAAGTCTCCATAAACTCCCGATCGCCCTTTTCCAGCTCCGCCACGGGGATGCGGCTGATCTTGGCCAGCTCGCCGTCGTACTGGCGGGCGGTGGCCGGGTAGCCGAGGGAGAGGTAGTTGTAGACCTGCGAGACAAAGTGCTCGTCGAACTCGGCGGCGATCTGCTCCTCGCGGTCGGCCGCCGCCTTCTCGCGCTTGAGCTTCTCGTCTAGGTTCTGCAGGTTCTGCAGCATGTGCAGGCCCTTGGGCGCTTGTGATTTCGTGCGGTGCTCCGGCACCATGCCGGGTACGGAGTGTGTGCCGCCACCGCTGCTCGCGCCTCCGTTTGGTAGGAGTGAGGCCGGCTCCTCGCTGAGCGTCACGGTTGGAGCGGAGGTCAGGCCGCCTCCGAAGTCGCGCGAGAAGGGGTCGTTGGCGTTGTTGTGGGATGCGGCCGGGGCCGGGGTAGTGAGCATGGTTAGGCGCTCGGCGGGGACGAGTTTCTCGGACGGATTTGTTGTGTAGCAATACCCACGCCACAAACCGTGCTCCCCTGTTGGGTCACGGTTGTGGTCCTCTAGGGTGGTGCCCGTGGCTACATCCCAGAGGTGGTCGGGTTCGAGCTTGGTTTGCTTGGGAGAGGGGCACCGCCGGAAAGTGAGGTCTTGTCCGAGCATGGGCGGCGAGGACTTCAGCCGGAGGCGGTGCTGCTGGCGGGCTCGTTCGAGCGACATGTCGCGCTCGGGGGGGAATGGCGCGAATGGGGAGCTGCGGCCGAAGCCGGTTTCAGCGGGGATCTTGGAGGCCGGGGCGTAAGGCATGTCGCCAGCTTTGCCGGGCGGGGCGGAGGGGATGTACGGCATGTGCCTTTCGCCGATCGGGCGGAACGCTGGGGATTCTGGGGGGAGATAGGGCATTGTCGACTCGCCGATGGTCGGGAGGGGTGATTCGGCGCGGAGAAGGGGCATAGGGGAGTCCCCGATCGGCCCGAGGGAGCTCGACGATGGCCGCCGTGATGGCCATTCTGGGGAGCTGGCGATGGATGTTCTTTGGGTCCTTGTTAGGCCCATGGCGTCGCTCGGTGGGCCGTCTATGCTCATGTTGTCAAGGTCCAGCGTGTCGATTCGGTCCCGCGACCTTATCCGATGCAGCAGCTGCGCATGCTCCTGCATCTCCTTGAAGGCCCAACTGATGTCCTCCTCAGACGAGTTCCTCCGGGACTGCAAGGGGTTCCACGGCCCTCTTGTCAAGGGCCGACCCCGAGGACTGTCGTCTTCCGAGCCCTCACGCACGTAAAAGTGCTCGGCACCGCCTATCCTTTGGCCACTGTTGGGAAAGGCGCTCATGGCCACCTCTTGTAGCTTCATCTTTGCATCGCGGGCAACCAGGTCAAAGACGCCGCCAGCAATCTCGTCGTCGCATGACTCCCGCCGCCCATGGCCCTTCTGTGCCAACGCCTCCTCCGAGGGTGGCCCATGGTCGAAACGCTTGCGGGCTCTCGGCGCATAGATGTGATTTGTGTAAGGGGTGATGTCTGTCCTGTCGGTATGCTTGGTAGCGGGGCCCTCGTCGCCTGCTCTTTTTGCTCGGCGCACCGAGGACTCGACTAGTTGAGGGGCGAATTTCCGCTTCTCCCGAGTTCGAGTTCGGGGCGGCGGTGACAAGGACCGTGGGGACGGGCTGGGTGTAAGCTCGCCGGCGGGGATCGTCTTTCGGTATCGTTCAAAAGTGGTCTCGATCGGGATAGGAGCAAACCGCGCCCGCGGCCGCTCCTTTACATTGGCCATGCCGGATCGTACCTCGACGCTTAGAGCAGTTATACCATAGGCGAGAAGACCAGACGGAGAGTCGGTTATGGTGCCGGTCGGTCGGTCGGTCGATCGGTATCGAATCCGCGGCGGGGATTTATTTTGGTGTTAGTTGTTGTGATTCCGAAGCAGGCAAGTATTGTCTGGTATAATTGGGACTCTTTCGGAACTCTTCGGCCTGTTTTCGGTCAACTCTTGTCCTCTTGGTTGCCAACCACGTTTTGGAATGCTGCGACTCGAACGAAAGGAGAGTTTTGACGAGTGTCCAGTGCCGGCAGTGCACACAAAGTGATTTTGTATCTTGACCGATGTGCCAGGGACCAGGATGTGGGGGCGAGCAGTGGGAGCGGTCACAAGAGCCGAGGCGGGTATCGCAACATCGCTAGCAATTCGCGCTTGCGCTTTATCGCTGCTGACCAGGGCCAGGTGGGATGGTGGTGGGGTAAAATTGGAGTACCTGTACCGTGTGAACTTTGTGCTCGTGTTCCTTCCTGTCAACGGCGGTGGAGGGTCAAGACACGACAAAGGGGCGCACACCCCAGACCAGATAGGCACAAGCAGGGCAATTCGACGAGTTGGGAGCGAGTCTAATTTGGACAACGAGACAAGTGCATAACTGGGTCCTTTCTGGGTCTTTGGTCCTTATTACTTTGGGCATGAGATGGCAACGGATACTTCCTCGTGCTGCGAAGCCACCGTGCGAATACCTTTATGAGCACGGCTTCTATACCCCTATTTCCTGGGGGATTGCTTCAGGGTCTGAGCGGGGAGCGCTGCGGCTTCTTGTCACTGTCACTCGGCGTCAAGCTGCCACGAAAATGCCCTGACATCATCGGAATCACAGTGTCAGATGCGGCGAGTTGACGCCCCAATTGTAGATCAACTGCAAACTCCAGGTCATACGGATGGGATAACCATGTCTTATTCAAACAACCCAGGGTCCTCAAAGAATCCCCAGAAAAAGAATCTTCTATGTTGAATTCGCGATATGGAACTTCTTTGACTTGGTCCAGACCGCCGCCCATTTCCCCCAAAAATTTCCCGGGGCTCGCCCGACGGACACCCGGACAAAACTCACTTCGCTCTCAGCCACAGCCACGATTTTTAGTCAAGTGACAAACACCCCCAGCATTGTGCGCTCGACTCGTCGGGGTTACGAAATTAAAACAGGCAATATGAGCATCCCGGTTCCTCGAGACGGTGGAGACACAAATCAGCTTCCACTCCTCATCATGCTTTCGTCCACGTTGCGCCCCTGGGGAATCGGAGGATGCACAGTCTGGACAAACACTAACTGACATTCGCACAAGAAAAGGGACAACTCACGCGCATGCTCAGCGCTCCATAACTAACTATTGCCACCCTGTTCGATGAGAGCTGGATGACCCAGCAGGCCAACCCAACCTCTTCCCACTGGTTAAACCGGGCGCTGATGGCTCAAACAAAGCCTCACTATTGACACCAATGTGGGTTCAATGCCTCGCTTGGAGTTCTTGAAGGCGGGACGGTCCGCTGGTGATGGTCTCGACCTTGGCCAATTCACGCTTCCCTTGACACAGTATCAAATCCCTTCGCTCTTCGTCTTATTCACATCCGCGGAAAACCCATGTATGTATCGGTACATGCAAAATAAAATATCACGCTTCCAAGGCATTGGATGGCGAATGTCGCAGCACGCCGACCCCCGCGGGGAGCCGGGGGCCGGTGAGCTGCTGCCGGGAAGCTAGTTACCCCATACCCCGTGCTCACCGCTCCCCCCACCTCGATTGCGGCTATCCAAACCATCGACAGCAAAGGTTCTCAACGTGGCAGATCTTCGTTGACAGAGAGGCATTCGCCTCCGGGGCGATGTCACCGGCTTTCAGTGCCAACGCCACCTCAGAGCAGCGGCCCTAAAAGTCGCCCTTCATATCACACATCGGGTTTACCGATGTGCTCATGGCGAGCAGCTTCGATACACAGTCTTCGAAATGTTTGCCGCCAAGTGTGTGATTAGACAGTGACTTGTAAGCCACATGCAGCACCACATCCTCTCGTGATACCACCGGATTTCGCTCATTGGATCCGGCCTTCAGAACCTGAAGCCAATGCGCGCTTCCTTCCGCACCCTCCGCTGACCGCTTTCTTCCGCTCCCTCCAAACGCCCAGCGCTGTCGGCAGTGGTCCGATAGCTGCTGGCGGGAGCGGATAAGGTAAGCGGGATCCCATGGGGCTGTCCAATGGATAGAATCCTCCGTACACCACCTCCCGTTTGCTGTTGCGTTGCAGCTGCGGGCTGCGCAGGGAAGCTGGTCATATGGGCACTTACTGGAATGGGATTCGTTGTGATAGGTTATCTCGAATCGCCTTCTGCTCCGTGAACGGCTGTCCTCCCTCGAAAACAACAGTATCTGGGAGAAAACTTGCACTGCCAGGATTTGTCCACTTTTACCCCGGATTCTTGGCTTCCTCGGTGTGCGGGGAACGATCGAGGAACCAGGGGAGGAACACACCGTCTGCAACCTCGAGAGTCTCGGTCTCTTGGCAACCCGTCCCTGCCGGGATTATTCCACACCGTTGCTCTCGTTCTCCGGGCCTAGAATCGCCAACATGACCAGACTTGGGTGCAGGTTCAGGTCGTCAGGGGCACTGACGCGGCCTTCGGATGTTGGTGTGACAGAGGGTTCACCGAATGGTCTGGTCGTTGCCGACTGGTAGCCAACCTCCCATCCGTCCCAAGCGAGTACCCATCAAATTCGAGGCTCGCGAACACCGAGAAGAACAGGCGTGTTCAAGATATCTCTCATCTGCAGGCCATGAGACGATACTTGTCTAAGTATGAGTGGATCTCCTGCCCATGTCAAGTCTGTCCCAAAGATGTCGTATACGGGAAGGAGCTTTGCCATGGTTTGCTCTCGAAAGCTAGCGAAAGTCGAGGCTCCGGTGTTAGGTCTCTGGTACGGCCCGGGTACTGTAGCAGATGGTGTGTGGTGGTGCTGGGACGCACGGCATCATCAAAGCCTTGCCTCTCTAGGTTACGGAGGAATGTCCCACCAAGCATCCCCCGTGACCAGCTGTAGGCACGACGCTTCCTACGAGAAGAAGATGCTTGTGGAATACAAATACCCATTATAGTGTATCGGAATTATTATTTAATGAGAAGTTGCGAACTCCATTGTTAGGTTACTCCTCCTTTTCTTGTCCGTAGATATAAATCTCAGAGTCTTTGTCTGTTCCTCACCCGCTTGTCTTGAGTTTCTTTTTCTCTCAAGACTCACATCCTCATTGCGGCTACTATCTATCCTCCCCACCCTCCCCGGCTCAATTCTGCCTGTCTCCCGCTCCCTATCTCTCTGTTAGTTCCCACCTAATTCCAGAACCAAGGAAGCATTTACATTTCCAGCCCCCCACAACATATCTGCCTCTTCAGCCGGCATGTCCCGTTATACCTATTATACATTCTTCCACATATTCTCGCTCATCATTCCCATTCATGTGGAATCCCTAAACTGAGCCATGTTTAAAAACCTTTCTCGATTAAACCATATGTCATCGCATTGTCTCCTCCAACAGCACGTTTTCCCCATCGGCTAGTAGTAACAACACACAACATTACCGCCGGTGCTACAAGAGCCTCCACGTGCCATACTTTAGGTAACTCACTCAGCAGCAACAGGCCGGAAATCAAAGGACCACTAGTGAAACGAGACTGCAATATCTCTATTGAAAGGTGTATGTGCCGTCGGGGAGGAGAAAGACAACACTTTAGTGCCATACTGTCCGGCTTGATGTCGGCTTGCTGGCCCAGGCCTGCCATCCAACCTAACCTCGCGGTTGAATACACACGGAATGGAAACGACTCCAATGCCATAAACACGGCAAGCTGTAAGACCCGAGAATCAACGTAATCTATTTTTCGAGAGCCGTCACACGCGGGACATGCAGGTACCCAACCCAACGCCTTTCGTCCGAAGGAGGGCATCATAGTGTTGTCATCCTATCCCGTCCTATTTCGCGCCGCCCTCTGCATACATATTCATTGTTTCTAGCCAATTTATTTGGGACACAGGGCGGGAAGCAGCAGGCGAAGCCCGTTGCGCGAGTGTTTGCCCATGATAGCCGTGGAAAAGCCGACGATAATATCCGGGCAGAAAAAACTCATTCGGATAATGGACGGGGAAGAATGGAGCAGTGGGGATTTACCTTGTGTTGTGGCACTGCTTCATTGATGAGTCTTCGAATTCACGTCGCACTTCGGCAATCCAATGTAACTCTGGGCAGTTCCTGGATTCCTGTGCGCGGGTCTGGAACCGAGACCGGGTTTATAGCCAGCGTCGAGAACAATCCATGAATCCATCGGTATTCGTAGAGTTGTATTTTTCGGAAGTGCTGGCCGGACACCTCGGTCCATGAGGTCAGGAATTGTTTTCTGACAAGTTGACAACCCTGCAGGTTTTCTTGCCGAACTTACAGGGAGCCGCAAGATCGCCGACGGGGATGGATTTGTCGATTGAAACTCGGGCCGTGATGTGCTTGGTGTTTGACGGCATTGCGGCCAGTTGTTGGTGATGTCGCCGAGGGCCTTCAATATCCCCTCTGGGGTGACATGGTTGTGTTTCGCTCGTAGCTCGCTACCGAAATTATGAGCTTGAACAATTCGAGGCCCTCTCGCTGTTCGCCTCAACCAACTGCCCCTGACAAGGTCGCGTCACTCGCGTGGCGTGGGTTACAATAAAGACGGGGCTGTCCGTCCCGCCGTGCACAGACATCCAGACCGACATCCAGTCCGGCATACCTATCCAATGCTGGGACGACCAAGCCTGCACGTTTCGTGTGCAGTGGCACTTCGTTGAGGTCGATGACGGGGTTATGATGATGACTTGTCCACCAATGTGTTAACCGATGTCCTGGGCTTGCCGCGATATCCGACAAACCGCCCGCCCGGCAGCCTCCCGGATTGGCGCCCTGAAGCGGCAATGACGGGCAGCGCCCGAATCCCGGCACAGGGGCTCTGTAAGAACCTGAGACTGGGATGGTTGGATCAGAGATGCCGCGGGCCTGCGGCGTGCGATTGGAAATATGCCAGCGAATTCCCGTGCCTGGAAAAGCAAGTTTTTCTGCCTTGGCTTGTGTGCATGTTCGAGTAACTAACAAGGGGTCGTGTTGGATGAGCTGATGGGATCGAGCTGAGCTGGATCGATGAAATCTCTGGGAAACGAGGACTTGCAGGGGCTTCCCCGGGCGGTTGCACCCGCTGAGAGCTAAAATTGGGAGCTGCGAACGCCACCAGCAGCCAAAAGCGCAAGAAGAGAAGCTCGGGTCACCAAATGCTTGTATGGAGTTCCATTAGTTATACCTGGTCAGGTTCGTGATAGGGGCAAGAAGGAGCCTCGAGGTCAAGCGAGCCCATAGGTTCTTGGGACTTTTGAAAATGGAGATGGTGTGGTGCTGATGCTCAGGCGACCCATCCTTGCCATCCTCTCTGATGTGTGGTGGTCACGGGCGACATCCGAGAAACCTGAGAAGGCAGCAGCGCTGAGCTTGGAAGCCGTTGAAAAAGCAGCACCGGGCCCCACCGTGCCACCCGTCAACGCTCCCGCCGTTCTCAGCCAGAGTGTCAGGGTCAGGGCGCCGCTGCCAAACTCGAGATTAATAAAACGAGATTGAGAGCCCAGGAACGATGAACCACAGCTTGACAGGCCAATACATAATTCCCGGCTTGGCTTTCCAGGTTTCTTCTATTTGCCATGTGCGGATTTCACATTTGCATTCCAACCCGGAAATCCATTGTGCTGTTCCTATTCCAACCCCCGATCGTCCTTCTTTCTTTCCTCTCAGAAGCGTGCACCGCGCTTGCCGATTCGGTCCCATCGGCGGGATTAACGGGACTAGCGCCGGCCTAGATCTTGATTTTCACCCACCGATACCCACAATCGCCATAAACACCCTGGAGCGCAGGCGGGTCTTCGACTCTTGGACCTGACGATTGACGACCGGCCATTTCCAGGTCATTAGCGATTCCACTGGAAAGGAGGAAGTCGTCTGTCCATGCCGTCGATATATCGTCCAGCGCTGGTCCCCTATCATACGCGGCTCCCACCAGCATGGCGGCGAGGTACAGCGTCGTCGACCAGGCCGACGACGGCAGTAGCCATCCCCCTGATTCCGCATCGCCATTGTCGCCCCTGTCGCACGCAACTTCGACCACTGTGGCTTCGCCTGCCTCGCCAACTTCCTCTTCGCCCTTGCCCTACGTGGCGTTGGCCGACCAGACATTCACCCCGCTGTCGATAGACACCAGCGAATTCTATCCTTCCGAAACCATGACAGAAGGGAAGTCGCCTGGCGCCCTCGAGGCCCGCAGGTTGTTAAGTACGTCTAAGAGCATGGAACATTTGAGGCGCACCGGGAACCTCAGCCGCAGCAGCAGCAACAGCACGGCCCCGGCTGCATCCGCTTCGGCAGGCGCCCCAACCATCGTGGGTGCCATGGTGGAATCGTTTGAGGCGCTGCATGCATCAACATCAAGCGCCACACTGGGATACGAGCTGCTCCGGTCAAAAAGCGCAGACCAACGCCCAGTGGGGCTCGTGTCGCCTTCGCCCACGATTTCACGCTCTCCGTCCGTCTCACGCTCCAGGTCCCCATCGCACTCTCCAGCGAAAGATGCATTGGTTCTAGACGCGGCCTTGGGAAGCGACGGTCTTGGCACTGCAGACCAAAAGACACCCAGTGCAGCCCAAGACAAAACCACCACAAACACCACCGTGCCGCAGACTGCCGCCGCAACGCCGAATCCTGATCCGTCAGCACCGATCTCGAGCGCCTCCCAGGCACAGGATGCTCCAAGTTTGCCTCTCTCGTCCGTTCCTGTTTCCCCCCCTTCTACCGTTGTCGCCGACACCACTTTGATTCGACCAACGCCGTCCGCAAACCAACCGCAAGGACGGAGCCGCGCCACCTCAACCCCGATCCGGCCGCCGATTGTTCGCACCTCGTCCAACGCAAGTCTATCCCTCAGCCACCCGGCGCCCGACCCCAACAAGCTGTCTCAAGCTGGGAATTTTCTGGGCAACATAGCAGCTCTCGAAGCTACCGCCGAGCGACTGTCTATGACAAGCAGCATCGAGGACGCCATCCGAGAGGAACACAACGAACTCAAGCGGTCCGAAAGCCGTCGGTCGTCGATTTTGCGTGCTCGGGCGGCATCGACGTCGGATAGCGGCTCGGTGCATGGGCAGTCTCAGCTTTCGGTCGCAAGTAGACAAAACTCCATTTTGGGAATTAACAACGCGGCGCGCTCAGGGGGTTATTCGCCGGGAGGCTTTGTCATGAGCCCGCACCATTCCATGTCAGCTGCTTCGGGCCGCCTCCGGTCGGGCAGCAAGGCAAGTTCGATTGGCATGCCGTCGCACATTCTGGAGAATGTAGACATGACCGGGGCGTTAGCAGACCTCGAACATGCCCAGGAATTCCGTTTCTTGCCGCGCCACGGGCCAGGTAAGGCCTCGACCAGGAGCGTCGCGAGCAGGTTATCGCTCGCGCAGATTGCCGAGCTGGAACATCCCACTACCTTGACTCGGGAGGCCCTTGACGAGGCTGACCGTGCCGCGGCAGCTGGGGAAACTTTAGATGTCGAGGACACGATACGCAACAGTGCCCATCAGTTCATCGAAGCCGAATTCGCCCAGGAAGCGAACGGGCCCGCGACGACCTATGATCCGCCCAGTGACCCGAATCCCCGCTTGCAGCTTCACCAGCCGGACGAGTACCAGGCCTACCAGCCGTACCGGCCACCCCATGCCGAAGATGATAGACCGACGACATCCGGGTCTGGCGGAACTTACGAGCAAGCCCAGGCCGCCTTTGGTGATTTTGACGGCGTACACTGCGACCCGGATACCGGAGATCTCGCAACTGATCTGGAGCACGGACGCTATGACGCCCCGTCTCGGCCTCGCGCCGCTCTACCCGCCCGCCCTACGACATACTTCGATCCCGGCACAGGGCAGCAGATGATGTTTTACCCCGCTCCTGTCCCTGCTATGCTTAACCTCCCTCCGAAGCTGTCCAAAAAGCCTAAGGCCCCGGCGCGGGTCGCCCACCGCTCCCAGGTTGTCAGCAGTGTGCCAAAGACAACCCGTGAATCTCAAGTCTGGCTGCCCGATCCTACCGAAGGCTTGCATAGGAGTAATGACGATGCTCCCTTCATGGGGGAGTTGCTCGGGGAACGCAGCACAGACGCGGACTTGACCCCACAGCCTTCTGGAATGGAACCAGAGAGACCAGATTATTTGGCACATGCCAGACATCCGTCGGAAGCGAGCACTATCCACCCACCTCCAGAGCAACGCGAACTCCGCCGACCCCAGCGTATGGCAGACGCTAATAATCGCAAATCCCAACCCATCGCTAGGGTCGACGGTATGCCTCCTCAGCTGCGCGCGAGCGCCTTTTTCGACCTGCCTTCCGAACCCCAAAAGATCGATATCAAGGACGGTTCCGCGATGAACACACTAGACAGTCTTCTAGACGCGTCCGCCGCAGCGCCTGTCAGCGCCTTCACCGACCACGTGTTCGCGGGCAAGCTCGGCGCCGAGGTGTATGGACCGGAAAAGAAGAGGAAGGTGAAGAAGACGAACCCCCCGCCGACGCCCACCCCTGGGCCAGAAGAAAAGGCCAAGCGCAAGACGCTTGTGAAGAGGAACTCCGCCAGCAATATGCTCGACGGAGTTGAGGACAAGCCCAAGCGGAAGACGCTCGTAAAGAAGAATTCTAACAGCAATCTCTTGGACGTGAATCCAGAGAAGAAGCGTGCCAGCCGGTTCTCTCTATTCGGTCCAAAACCCGTCGACGACGAATCCGATGACGACGCGAGGCCTAAGAGTGCCCGACGTAGCGTGGACGACGACGATGCCCGGTCTCATCGAAGCGCGTCACCCGACCAACGGGCTTCGAACGATGACGAAGAAACAGAGACAGAAAGCGAGGACGAAGAACCTGTTTACCAGGGGCCGCCCACGACACTTCTTGCCGAACTGCAGCTGCGCAAGCAGCAAGATAAACTACGAACTCGCCCGCTTCATCACACTGATGGCATGCGCAGCACCCTTCTCGAACTAGACGCAGTGGCCCAGGTGGAGCGGAAGGCCAGACACGGCAAACGGGTCATGCTTGCGTGGGAAGACCCGACGGCCACCCCACAGCAGGAGGAAGAAGACGACGAGGAAGTTCCCCTCGGCATGCTCTTTGCCGCAAAGACCGCCGCCCCCGGGGGCTCGACCCGGTTGACTATGGATATCAGCACGCTCATGAGCGAAATGCACCGCCCTCTCGGTTTGATGGAACGTCGCGAGATAGAGGAGAACGAGCCGCTGAGTCGGCGCCGGGACAGGCTACAGGGCAAGGTGGATGATCAAGCATCCACGTCACTGGCGGTGTTACAAAAGCGGATGAGCCATATGCCTGGCATGGGCATGCGGTCGCAATCCCGCCTCACCTTGCCCCTTCCCCAGCCAGGCGGATCCCGCGCCGGTTCTATGCTCGGCTCCCGCCCGGGTTCCGCTGCAGAAGGAAGCGAACCTGAGATCGAGGGCGAGACCCTCGCAGCTCGCAGAGCCCGGTTGGCAGCCGAAAACCCGCTCCCGCGCACAAGGCCGGTCAGCAGTTCTTTCTCAGCGGAACTGCTGAGAGAATTTGGCCCCGACGAACAGGGAGACGCCCAGAAACTCGGCGCCAACTTGACGCATAGCCGCGGCGCGTCCCGCGATACCAATGACGGTGGCGCTATGGAGAACGGCGGGTCTGTCCCGGAGGAGGAAGAGACCCTCGGCCAGCGCCGCCGCCGTCTCCAGCGCGAGCGTGAGGCGCGCGAGCGCGAGATGGCCTTCAGCACGCTCAACCGCGCAGCCACGCCCGTGGGGACGCGTGCCGACACGGCCCGCCCCGCCGCGACAGTTGGCATGGCTGGTGTTTTGGGCGCCGTGGGTCACGGCGGGGTCATGATGATGGATCCGCGCGAACAGGAACGCCTGAGGCGGGAGGCCGAGGGCGCCCGGCACCGGCAGGATATGGAGATCAAGATGGCTGCGATGCGGGCGCAGATGCCTACGAGCCTGACCGCGCCGTCGGTCGGCGGCCATACTGGGGGTTACATGGGGGGACGGTTCAACGATGGTGGTGGCGGGACTGGAGTGCAGTCGGGGTTGGGATATGGCGGAGGTGGTCTGTTGGGGATGCATCAGCAGCAGAGATCGAATGCATTCCTTGGTGCGCAGGGTATGGGCATGGGGCAGGGCGCGTACGGCGGCTCGACGCCCAACTTGGGCATGTACCAGAACGCTGCGGCTGCGAACATGAGCGTCAATACGCTGCCGCTGCCGCTGCAGGGGGCGGGGTATCCGATGCCGATAGGGGCTGGCGGCCAGGGGCATATGGATATGGTTGAGCGGTGGCGGCAGGGCGTGATGCCTTGATGGCCTCTCACTGGTATGACCCTCTAGTGCTTGTAAATGGTGGTTGTCGCCGGCCTGTACTGTGGTAATAGTGGAGGAAGATAGACTGTACGAGGGGCTTTCAGGGCGGAAACGGGTTGGGCGAGCTTGAACGGCCTCTTCGTTTCTCAGACGTTAGTTTTGGTCTTGGCATAGCATAGCGTTGCGAGGGCTCTCTTTTGTGTAGCTAGACTTGTAGTAACCGAACCATTTTTCTCTCGCTGTTGAAAATGGTTGCTGTTGATTGTGCTTGGGGCAGTGCCCCAGTGCAGTGCTAAAGCCATCATTAGGGTTAGGGTCGCTTTCTTTCGGCGGTTGCCAGCCGATGGAACCCTTTTGCCTGCCCCGGGTCGGCTTGGGTCGGGTTGTTTTATCCCCTGCCGAGCCTGCGTTGTGCCTGCTGACCTCTCCAACTCCAACGTCATCTTCCGGAACCATCACCAGGCACCACCCGTCCCGACCGCGGCGGTATTGCCGCGTCACACTTAAAAACCCGATGGCGGCTGGAACATAGCGCTAGACTGTACTCATACAATCAACAATAATTAACAACCAACATGAACCGCTCGCCCTCGACCTCGGGCTTGCTCCCGCTGCCGGGCACACCATCCTCGTCGTGGGCCCTCTACCGCGCGCGCCTGTCCAACATGTTTCGCAACACCGACGTCTCGGTCGTTATCGCGTTTTGGCTATTCGGTACGGGCCCCCCTATTCCTTCCCCAAAACACCAAACACACCAACCCAACCCTTCCCCTCCCTCACCCTCTCACCCGCCCGATCATCATCCCCCACAACTAACCCCCCACCCTCCTCCACCCAAACAGGCCTCATCAACAACATCCTCTACGTGCTCGTCCTCTCCGCCGCCCAAGACCTCGTCGGCACGTCCGTCCCCAAAGGCGCCGTGCTGCTCGCCGACGTCCTGCCCTCCTTCCTCACCAAGCTGGTCGCGCCCTACTTCATCCACCGCGTGCCCTACTCGGTGCGCATCGCCGTCTTTGTGGCGCTCTCGTGCGCCGGCATGCTGGTGGTGGCGGCCGCGCCGGTGGAGGGGGCCGTGGGCGTGAAGCTGTTGGGCGTGGTGCTGGCGAGCTTGTCGAGTGGCGGGGGGGAGCTGAGCTTTTTGGGGCTGACGCATTATTATGGGCATGGGAGTTTGGCGGCGTGGGGGAGTGGCACGGGAGGGGCGGGGTTGGTGGGCGCGGGGTTGTATGTGGTGTTGACGGGGTGGATTGGGTTGGGGGTGAGGGGGAGTTTGTTGGTGGGGGCGCTGCTGCCGAGTGTGATGGTGGTGGCGTTTTGGGGGATCTTGCCGAGGGGGCCGTTGAAGGGGTGGAAGGGCGGGTATGAGCGCGTTGCGGAGCCTGGGGAAGAGGAGGACGGGGAGGAGGGGTTTGAGGATGTGCCTGCGGGTGCGGCTTCCGCTGGGCTGCTCGCACCGGGACCGTCGGTGGCGGCTACGGCGTATACGCATCATCATGAGGGGCGCACGGGGAGGGCGTCGTTTTGGGGGAATGTGCGGCGGGCGAGGGCGCTGTTTTTCCCGTACATGCTGCCGTTGTTGCTTGTGTACGTGGCTGAATACACCATCAACCAGGGTGTGGCGCCGACGCTGCTGTTTCCGCTGGACCAGTCGCCCTTCTCCGAGTTCAGGGAGTACTACCCGTTCTACGGCTTCCTCTACCAACTCGGCGTGTTCATCTCACGGTCGTCGACGCCCTTCATCCGGATCCACCACCTGTACTTGCCCTCGTTCCTGCAGGTCGCCAACCTCGTCCTGCTGACGCTGCACGCGGTGCTCAACTTCATCCCGTCTGTCTACCTGGTGTTTGTGGTCATCTTCTGGGAGGGCCTGCTCGGCGGCGCGGTCTACGTCAACACCTTCGCCGAGATTATGGAGAATGTTCCGGCGGAAGACCGCGAATTCAGCCTGGGGGCAACTTCGGTTAGTGATAGCGGCGGCATCTGCATTGCGGGCTTCCTGGGCATGGCTATGGAGGTGTGGTTGTGCCGTTGGCAGGTCAGCCAGGGGCGTGATTACTGTCGGCGTATCGAGGCGAGCTAAGGATTCGAGGGGTTTAACAAGATACTAATAGAGAGCGTTTGTATATGCAAAATCTATATTGTACGATTTCTATACGCATGGCTAGCCGTGAATACAGCGCAGTTGACTGTATACGCTATACCCATGGCTATTATCAAACATGATCTCAACGCGAGACCCTTTCGCACCAATTCGCTGCGGCTGATTTCTCTCATACATCCAGGATTTTATTTTCTTTTCTCAGTCTCCATGTTTTTTGCAGTCCTTTGGTACTTGTTAAATATCCTTAACTATCACTTAACTAGTTAGTTATTATTTTTCGTTGAACCCCACTGGGATTTTGACGGCGGTTGACTTGGCCCTAAACCCGACAGTCTGGCAAGACATTTATGCTGATCTCCCGCTTCAATGCAGGGTCAGGTAGGACTGGAAGATCTTTGCAATCATCGGATTTCGAGATGCTACTCTGAGTTACGAACAACACATGGTGGTGTTGCCATCATGGACACCCAAGCCCCCTCAGTGGGGAGGAAGCCATGTGATGGGGAACAGATAACCGGAGGTGGGTTTTACCCGCCAGCGCCGATCACGCAAATAGCAAGAGATGCCTCGTCAACAATGCCCAGGCGGGACTCCCTCCAAGACGAGCAGGTGGGTAGCAACAGCTCCAGTCGCTCCCGCACCATGTTCCGCAATCGCGGCAATCGGGAACCCGGGAAAGTGCCAGCCATGGAAGGCACAAATTAAGTTATCTTAGCTTCGGCATCCCCAACCGAAGGAGGAACCATTGCGACTCGATTGGTCAATCCCATCGCTGGGGTGAATTGCCCCGCATCCCCGAACCCTATCAAGCCCAGATCACCTCCACACCGGCTGAACGCGTTGCGGGTGCGCATCGCTGGGACCTGCCGTTGCGGACCTAGCGGCGGGACACGACAGGCCCCCCGACTCTTACTGGACAAGGCAGTTGCTCGACCGAGCAGGGCAGCAGCTGCCACAATGGGATGCGCCCAGACGCGATGTCGCTGTTGAATGGCGTGCAGCTGTCAATTAATTCGTTTCCAGAAGGCGCAAGCGAGGGGGAAAGATTGTGTGGTGTTGGCAATGTTTAGTTGTGCGAAGCGATCGGCACGTTGCTGACATGCGGCCTCGGAAACCACAGCGACCACCGTCCCAGTCGGGATGAAAGAACAGGGGAAAAAAAAACAAGGCAGGCCGCATGAGAAATACATATTGAGGGCCACCCCCTCGGTCGGTGACTGAGATGTTGATTGTTCCGCCCCCTCCCTAGGTCTCAACTCGAACCCGACATATCCCTGGCTGCTGTTGTGTGTTGATTCAGGATGAGGACCTCCACCGCTTCTCTTCTCGCTTTCGCCGTCCCCGCCTTGGCAACCGCCGGCGGCGGACCTGGCCACGGACATGACGGCCCGAAGGGACCCGGCTGCGGAGGTGGCCCGGGTGGCCCCAAGCCTGCCCTCGTCAACTCGGAGAAGCTGCAGGCCTTGATCAACATCGAGGACTTGGTCGCCGGTTCCCAGAATCTTCAAGACATCGCCAACGCTCACGGCGGCAACCGCGCTTTTGGCGGTGGCGGCCACAACGCCACTGTTGACTACCTCTACGAGGCGCTAACGGCTCTCGACTACTACGACGTGGTCAAGCAGCCTTTCACCGAAATCTACTCGGAGGGCAAGGGCTCGCTCACTGTCGACGGCGAGGACATCCAGGCCGATACCCTGACTTACACCCCCGGCGGTGAAGCTACCAAGCCGCTCGTGGCCGTCGCCAACCTAGGTTGCGATGCCGCTGATTACCCCGCCGAGGTCTCGGGCAATATCGCCTTCATCTCGCGTGGCACCTGCCCCTTTAGCCAAAAGTCCATCAACGCCAAGGCGGCCGGCGCTGTGGCGGCTATCATCTACAACAACGAGGCCGGCGAATTGGCGGGCACTCTGGGTGAGCCGTTCAAGGAGTATGCCCCCGTTGTGGGCATCAGCCAAGAGGATTCCAAGGTGATTCTGGAGAAGCTGGCCCAGGGCGAGGTGACCGCCACGGTCAAGATTGATGCGTTGGTTGAGGAGCGCGTGAGCTACAACGTCATTGCTGAGACGAAGGGCGGTGACCACAACAATGTGCTCGTTCTCGGTGGGCACACTGACTCTGTGCCTGCCGGCCCGGGTATCAAGTGAGTCTTTCTCGTCGACGGTTCCCCAATCTTGAATTATGCTGACAGCCTCCAGCGACGATGGTTCCGGTACGATTGGTATCCTCACCGTCGCCAAGGCACTTGCCAAGTTCCGTGTCAAGAACGCCGTGCGCTTCGCCTTCTGGAGCGCCGAGGAGTTCGGCCTGCTCGGCTCGTACTTTTACATGAACTCGATCAATGGCTCCGACACCGAGGTGGCCAAGATCCGCGCCTACCTCAACTTTGACATGGTAAATACATCCATTCCGCTCCACCCCACGACCCACGAAGCCACGCTAACATCTGCGCAGATCGCCAGCCCTAACTACATTTACGGCATCTACGACGGCGACGGCAACGCCTTCAACCTCACGGGCCCCGCCGGCTCCGATGTCATCGAGAAGGATTTTGAGAACTTCTTCAAGAGCAAGAACAGCCCGTCGGTGCCCACCGAGTTCTCGGGCCGTTCCGACTACGCCGCCTTCATTGAGAACGGTATCCCCTCAGGCGGCCTATTCACGGGCGCCGAGGTGCTCAAGACCGAGGAGGAGGCCAAGCTGTTCGGCGGCGAGGCCGGCGTCGCATACGACATCAACTACCACAAGATTGGCGACGACATCAACAACCTGGCGCTGGATGCGTACCTCCTCAACACCCAGGCCATTGCCGACTCGGTGGCCAAGTATGCCCTCAGCTTCAAGACCCTGCCCCCGGTGGAGACGAAGACGAGGAGGTGGGATGCCGACCGCGCCCGCATGCTCAAGCGCAGCGGAGGGTCTCACGGCCATGCTGGGCATACCCATTCGGGACCTTGCGGTGGCGGCGCCGAGATCTAGAGTGTTCATAGTTGTGTAATTTACTGAGGGTGCGGGATATGATTTATGATAATCAATGTATATTGGATGACGAGTAGCAAAGAATACTCCCTCGGACTGATGGCCCGTGACCTGGAACAGCTGCAGGTACCACACTCATCTCTGCCTCTTAACCTCCTTACCTGGTCTGTTGTTGAGGCAAGTCAAACTGATGCCATTGCAGAGCCGATGGTTAGACGGCTGCGTAACTGCATACAGTATCAGCTAAGTGGCAAAACCAAAGCTCAGCCAGAGGCAAATCGAGTATTCTTAGGCCTGCTAAGTGTCTGGTTTAACCATCGCCGTGTATTTACTAATCACTTACATGGAGATACTCAAATAGGTATAAAGATTCGGATATTAGACATATCCCAACAAGGACTTACTCATTCAAGTTCACTTTTTTCAAAGGAAAACAGAAAATAAACATTGATGAGTAACTCCATTCTCTATACGGCATCAAGTCTCGAAACGATCGACAAGCTTTCCTTTCTTGACTTCACAGAGAGGACCCTGAAATTTTAATCCTTCAGCCCTTTCGCAGGGTTCCGCATCCTTCTCAGAAGACGAACAACAATTCCTTCGTACCGTCTGATGAAAGGGCCAAAAAATAACTAACGGAAAAAACGGCAACAACGTGCCCCGTCGCCATTGGCACCAGGCTCGGGCATCCTCTTTTAATATCGGTCAATCAGACGCCAGAAGTCAACAACATGGACCCCATTCCCTGGTATTGCCAAGCCCAAAGAACAGACGAACAAGCTCTTCCAAGCCCAGTCTCCACAAGGCACAGCTCATCCGTCCCGCTGGGTTACCAGGCCGAGCCGGGTATTCGTGCCACGAGCGGGCGTTGAGATGCCGAGTAATGACAGCGTCAAGTGTTCAAGCTCTCACTTTCCCGAGTCATGCCCAAGCCACTGCGACGCTTGCATGTTCGAGATACCGATTTAGCACGACGAAGCCTTCTCAGCCTCCAAATCAGTTCTGGCCGTCCACCTGCCCCCAATGCCATGCAGAGTTAACGCTAATCCCAGCCTGGAAACCATGACAAGGATCGGCAAACTCTCTCCAAGATTAACTTTCCAGTTTACTTGGTATCCATTCTCCCACAGGCGCCAGCTTTTGGACAGCAAGGACTGGTGCCACCAAGCTAACAACAGCCTGAAAAGACCCATTCTCGCGCTGACAAGCATTGAAATGTGGCTGCCTTCGGGAAGCCCAAGGGTTTAGGGCGGGGGTTGGGCTGAGCATCCATGCTGCTTCGCTTCACCGCCAATGGACCGCCTCGTTCGAGAGGGCTGAGCGGCATCAAACCCCGTCTTCGGCCCCGCAAAGTGGAAGCTTACGCTTGGCAGTCGGTCCGGGGGCTTGGACCGTTGTTGAATCTTTGTCATGGATCGCCGAAGGAATGCCAATGTATAAAGAATGCCGTTACGCTTTGGGTTGGGACATTTGTCCTGGCTCGACGACACTTGATTCCCACCATCCCACAACCACCCTTCCCTCCCCAACGCAAAGATGGGTCAGTGGCAGAGCTCGCCGGTATGCACGACGCCAGCGTGCGTCCACGGGGCCTCCTATGTTCTTCAGAACATGGCCCCGAACTGGGAAGAGATGGACCCCTGCACAGAATTTGACAAGAGTGAGTACCGAGCTTGTAGTTTGAGCCTCGAGGGCTATCCCCGACGCTAACCTGGTTACGCGGTATTAGTGGTTTGTTACGGAGCCTACGAACATAACGGTGATGATTCGGGCACTTTCCCCGTAGTCCAGAAGCGCACCGCCCGCATCCTAAAGAAGATCATGGAGAGCAGCAGTCATGCCGAGGCAGCGGGCTTCAAGTCTACCTTGCTGGTCGCCCGGAACAACATCGAGGAGTCCAATTTCGATATGCTACGGACGGCCTACCAATCCTGCATGGACACCGACGCCATCGCCGCCGCGGGCATCAAGCCCCTGAACGATCTGATCGTATCTGTCAACAAGACTTGGCCTGTCCCCCCCACTGACCTGGAGACAAGCCTCGGGTCGCGCGACATTGATGGCCTGCGGGAGGCGGCACTGCTCCTCGCGCAGTATGACATCCCGGTCTTCTACAGCGCTTGCAGCGGACGGGGTGAGCCTGTCATGCCTGACTTTCTGGATGCGGTACGTTCTTGCGCTCATTGGTGCTGTTTCCCGTGTCGCTAACATGAGTGAAGAAACACAACCGTGTCTGCTGGAATCTTCCCCAGGTGTACTTGCAAAACAACCTGACGTCTTACTTTGACGAGGCTAAAATGAAAGCATATTCGGGGATGCTGAGAGACGTCTTCCGCATCTCGTACCCCAACCTAAACAACAAGACGGCCACGGCGTTGGGAGCAGCAGTCGTGGGATTTGAAATTGACCTGGTCACGGAAGGGCTTCGGTATCAGGAATCACTGGGGCCTGGCGCGGACTCTATAGTAAGCGCTACAACCCAAAGCCGGTCATTGTGACTAGAGAGACCAAACGCTAACGGACCCCAGAACACCATCAAAAACGTGACCCTCGCCGAGATCGACGAAGCTGCGCCCGTGTTCGGCTTTGGAAAGCTGGTTATTGGACTCACGCCAACTGGAAAGGCGCCCGCCCGTATCCTCGTAAACTCCCCGGACTTCTGGCCCGGGTACTCGAACCTCGTCGCGAACCACTCCAGGGCAGCCGTGCAGGGCTTCATGATGTGGACCGCCATCAACACGGTTGGGAAATATATTGGGGACCCGGATCTCCAAGCGCTCCTGGGAGTGTCGCCTTCACCCAAAGTCGAGAGATGGGAGACGTGCATCGACGAGATTGACAAGATGGCGCGGCACATCAAGGACCACTACTTCATCTCCGCCACATATCCCGAGCTCACCCTACAGGCCGCCGACAAGATGACCACCAACGTCAAGGCCGAGTTCAGGAAGCGCCTCGAGGGTTTCAAGTGGATGAGCGCTTCCTCCAGGAAGCGGGCCCTGCAGAAGGTCGACAACATGGTCCAGAACATCGGCTACCCCAGGTCAAACCCAGACCTCCGCTCCGCCGACTCGATCGCGTCGTACTACACCGGCCTCAACTTCACCTCGAGCTACTTCTCCAACGTGCTCTCCAGCCTGCGCTTCAAAACCACCAAACAATACGCCAAAGTGACCCAAAAGCCCAACCGCAACGAGTACGACAACGTGGCCGAAGTCAACGCCTTCTACGACCCCACCTCCAACGCCATCACCATCCCGGCGGGCATCTCGCAGCTCCCATTCTTCCACTACCACCTGCCCGACTACGCGCTGTACGGCGGGCTGGGCACCATCATCGGGCACGAGATCACGCACGGGTTCGACAACAACGGGCGGCAGTGGAGCGAGGACGCCGAGTTCGAGGTGTGGTGGGACAACTCGACGATTGCCGAGTTCGAGGCGCGCTCCCAGTGCTTTGTCGACCAGTACTCGGCCTTCGAGGTCGATGTGCCGGGAGGGAAGGCCCACGTCGACGGGCTGCAGACGCTGGGCGAGAACTTGGCCGATGCGGGGGGGATGCGCTCGGCGTATGCGGCGTGGGAGGAGCAGCGCAAGGCCATGCCGGCGACGTGGAACCAGGAGCTGCCGGGGCTGGAGAAGTTTACCGCGGAGCAGCTGTTTTTTGTGTACTCGGCGAATATTTGGTGCAATACTCGTACTCCGGCCGAGATGGCGAGGATCCTGCCGCTGGATGTTCATTCTCCCTCGATGGTCCGCATTCAGGGCATGGCGGAGAACTCGGATGATTTTAGGAAGGCGTTTAAGTGTAAGAAGAAGGAGGCTAAGTGCGAGTTGCTGTAGGGGGCTGGGGTTGTTTTGGGGTCAGGTTTTGGTGTTTTTTTTCTTTTCTTTTTTTTTTTTTTTTTTTTGAGAGGATATAGTTTTGAGCATAGCGTTTGGCGTTGGGGGTGACTGTAGACAGCTTCGAATAATAGAATGGTACCAAATCATCCCAAAGGCGATGTCCATTTTCCCTTCCCTTTATTTTATGTGTTGAACACCTCAGACACCATTTGAATAGCAGTAAGCTGCACAGGTATCCTTTCTGTCAAACTACCTAGACTCCCCATTTTCTCATCCACTCACTCACCATCAACATCTCTGCCGAGGACCTTTCCTCCGGGCTCCACCGAATCATGTTCCCCAACAGAAGACGCAAGTCATCCAGCTCCTCCTGATCAACCACCCCCTTCCTGTCTTGTTTTATGCAATCAACCCTCGCATCGAAAGTATAATAATCCCCATCTGAAATCTCCCTTTCTTCACCTTCCAGTTCTCCCCCTCGGCGTCAAAGAAGTTCCCGCGCGCCCGCCAACCATCCCATCACGACCGAGGGGGCTTTCCCAACGCACTAACCATCTCGGCGACCATGTCGTCTTCATCCGGAAAGAACCCCTCAAAGAGAGTTCCCGGCGTGAACAGTTCGTATATGGTGCACCCCAGCGACCAGATATCGGCCGCAAAACTGACTGGCTTACCCTCAGACTCGGCAAAGACCGCCTCAGGCGGCCGGTACAATACCGGCGTGTTCAGACTGTACCGTGGCGAGCTTGCGGGCAGCCACGCTTCTCCGAAGTCGGTGATCATGATATTGGCGTCGGCAGTGGTGATGTGTTCGCACCGTTTACCCAGCCAGACCGGAGGCACGACGTAGGGCGGAACGATGGTTGGTAGTTGGCTGACACCGTCCCTCCGCCGTACGGGTTCTTTTATCGGTTCACGATATGTGGCGTAAACGTCCTTGGTCGAGAGGGAATGGAAGGAAGACGGGAGGGTGAACAGGATGTTGCCTGGGTGGACGTCTTTCTCGAGGCTTTGAGTCAGTAGCTACTCGGCTCGAGATAATTGTGGTTCGCGCATCTTGAGAATGGGTCTATGTTCACTCACCACCATGAACAATACCCCGAGAATGCAACATTGCCGTTGCCCGGATTAACTGAGATGTGATGGTACGCGCCACGGCGAGGTCAAAGTACCATACACCCTTCGATGTGGACTTGCTTTTGGCTAAGCTACACATGCCGGGCTCTGTAACGAGGCATTCGTGGGTGCCATTGGGGCCGTTGTGAGTAAGCGAGTCTAGAATGGAAAGTCCTTCCTTCCCGCCGTGTCACAAACGCTTTCCCTTAGTCGTCGCAAGGTGTGAATCTCCTGCGATAAAGCTGTGTCAGATGCAATCGCAATCTTCAGCACCACGTGGCGGCCCTGGAACTCGTCCCATGCAAGCCAAGTGGTAGAATGACCACCGAACCCTAGTTTGTGGACGACTCGGTATTGACTCTGAGAGCCGAAGCGGTCGCCAATCTGCAGCGGGTGGTAACCTCCTGGCTTGTGCTTGCTGATACTCTCAGTGTCCTCAATTGGGGTATATTCTATTAGGGAGTGCGTGTCCTGAGTTGGTGACAAAAGTGTGCTCGCGAAATGAAAGGAAGAAGGGAGTCGTAGTTTGACTGTCGAGATGCTTGCCCTGTGCGGTAGATACCTACGTAAGATGATACCGCGTCAGAATAGAAAGCTCAATGAAGGGCCTCATCAGATCCAGGTTTTGCTATTGCCCTGCTTGCGGGCTGGATCATGCGAAGCGTCCTAGGACCGATTCGCCGACCACTGCCTGGGCTTCATGAGTATTCCTCTGAGCTTTCAAGTACCTCGATATTAGGGGTAATCAAGAAATCCATGGCGCTCCACGACCGAGTCCTGCTTCGACGAGAACCAGACCGACGCCATTGTTCGAACCATAGCCTACCATCGCAAAGAATCTTGTCAATCCTTGATATGGTTCTTACCTCGCGAACACGTCGCCGTTCGTTCATCGATAGCAACGCCCTTCCTGCGGGCTCCTGACACGGGGCTCGGTACCCTCGGTCGGTTACCGCTCGAGCTCCTGCAGGAGGTATTGCTACATTTAGACCTACGATCTCTCCTCAACTTTCGGCAAGCAAATCTCGGTTCGAGACAGGTCGTAGACTCTCTCTATCAATATCAGAGGTTGGTCTGCCATGGACTCAACCTTCTCTGCGCCTTGTTTCGGACACGGCTCGCCATCGACATTTCTCTGCTCGACTTTTACCACGCATTGTGTACCAAGGCCTGCACCTTTTGTGGCCAATTTGGCGGCTTCGTATTCCTCCCGACTTGGAGTCGATGCTGTTTTACTTGCCTCCAAAGAGCCTCGGGAACTCAAATGCTGACTCCTTCCGGGATCCGGAAGGAATTCCCCTTGACCGAGGCCGAAGTAGCGCGGCTGAGGCCGTTCAAAACCTTACCCGGCATCTACGGAACGAGGCGGCTCGCTTCCCCTATTGCGCTTGTCTCTGTAGCTCAGGCCAAACTCATGATTTCAGGGAAACCATCACATGCAACAGCAGCGCAGGCGCGGTCGGCAAATTTCAGAAGAATTACACAATTCAGCTATATGGGGTCATGCGCACTTCCCTATTATGATAGGCGGACCGGCAGAGCCGAGTACGGAATGTCGTGTGCCGGATGTTTACTCGGTTTTCAAAAAGAGATCATTATCGGCTCCGACCACGAGGACTGGGGACTCATGGTCCGCGACAAGGTATATGGCCAAGATTCTTTTCTGGCACATTTCCGATGGTGCGCACATGCTCAGACCCTGTGGAGATCGAGCGGCAAAGGCAAGACCAGGCCAATCGAGCTCCGAAGGCTGCTCGGAGAGGAGGATTTCTCAACAACCGAGGATGATAATGAATGACATTTACTTGGTGCCTACCCAGGGTCCGGATCAATTACACTCCCATCAATGTCACCAGCCCGTTGCAGTGTAATTGCACCTTACGTAAGCGAAGCCACATTGAATTGATCCACGGAAGGCACTCGTTGAAATGGATGCAACATGTTGAAATTGGTGGGGCCGAACTGTGGGCCCCGTTGTGGGGCAATAACCTAACCCAAAATGGGAGAAGTGGGTCCAAATTTCCATACAAATCCCTAACCCTAGCTATCATCAATCATCTTCCATGTGTCCGTGTGTCTTCCATGACAGTATTGGATCGAGATCATCAATCACGCCGGCATCGTACCAGCTGCGGAGGATCTGACAGAGAGATATTGTGTTCGCCTGTAGCCGGTTGCGTAAAGGAGTAACCATATGGCCAGTAACGCTGAACAAGCGCTCAACTTCGGCGCTCATAGGAAGCACCGTGTGTAGATCCAACGCCATGCGCGCAAGCCGTGGGTAGGTGTTCCTTCTCTTGTGCCAGTAGGCACGGGGATCCTCCTCGTACCGATCAAAGTCGCTATTATCTAGTTGCCAACGCTCAAACTCGTCAAGTTCGACCAGCGCTGGCGATGGAAAGGGTGAAGGAGAGGTGGGTGCTGAGTTTGTTGGAGTTCGCTCCTGGGTTCTGAAGATTGCGAACCTGTTGCTCGAGAGGCGGGGGATTTTCGTGGGTGGTTCTGAAGCCTCTTTCTGCTCGACTGGTAGGTCTCGGTATTGTTGCCTCCAGAGTTCTCGGACTTGTAACTTCGCTGGCTCGATCCAGTCAGCGTGATGCTCACGCCACGCCTCGAATCTACCCCATCGGTGCCGAGGGTGCAATGCGGTGGCAGCGTAGATGAGAGGAGACTGGCCGATCTTCTCGTAGTATTTGTCGAGCTTCATCCATGCGTTGTTGACGTTAATAGCGACGTGTTCGCCGTCAACGAGGTCTTCAACTCTCGCCTTCGCTCTCTCGAGAGACTCAAGGAGGAACTCGTACCCATCGAGAAGATCCCAGCTTGCTCCCTGTACTAGACTGATCGGCTCATCGCAGGAGCTGCGCTTCTTCTCACGAGGTTGACCGTCGCCCTGAAGAGCTTTCACAACGAGCTCAAAGTCGAGAAGGATCTCTTTCAACACAGAGATGACCTCCCAGTCGTTCGCGGTCAACTTGTTCTCCTCATTTAAGAAGAGCGGCTCCTTCGCGCCTTTCTTTAGAGTGCCTGCTGTCGTCCGGAACTGCGAGTCAACGTGAAGCTTCGCCTCAAAGAGGAAGGTCTCGTAGAAAGGCTGGAGTTGAAGAGCGCGTTCCATCATGAAGTACTGAGAGAGCCACCGCGTAGCGTTGTCTGTCACCACTCCGACCGGCGTGTGTTTCTTGATCTTCTCACCTTCGGAGGCTTCTCGGATCCGTTGCTCTTGCGCCGAGATGAGCTTCTTGGTCCAGAGGTCTGACCTGTTGACCTCCTTCTCACGGTCAGTGATAGGTAGGTTGACAAGGCGAGATGCACATACCTGACAGAAGTTATGAAGCTTACCAATGGGGCCTTTCCTCCTCCATTGCTCATGCTCATGTTGAGTAGTGAGTAGGCTAGTAGAGACTTCTCGCTCAAAGGCATCACATTCTACACCAAAGAGTAGTGCTCTAACTACTAGGTTGATGATGTGGCCGAAGCATCGAACTCTCCTCTCTTACCACTGGAAGCCGAGCTTCTCACCGATTATTTTCAACGCGGCGTCGTTATTTGTAGCGTTGTCGACAGTGAAGTAGCCAATCTTCTTTTCAATACCATAGTTTCTAATAACATCGAGGATGGCCTCCGCGATGTTCTCACCCGTATGCCGGTCACTCATCTCTGGCAGACCGAGCACAATCTTGTGAGGCGTGCCCTCTTCGTCTCGGAAGACTGCGCTCACGCCGTAGAGAGAGAGGCGGTTGCGTGAAGTCCATCCATCGAAGACTAGATGAACCAGCCCGGGGCTCTCCTGGAGCGTCTTAACCACCGCATCCTTATGCCGCTCAACCTCTCGTACAGCGAGGGCGTGAACAGTCTTCTCGGAGAGGTTGGCTTTTTGAATGTCGACAGAGGGGTTGAGGTAGGAGAAGACATCGCGAAGATAAGGGTGTTCAGCTGTGCGGAAAGGAAGATTGGCGCTGATGAGCCATCTTACAATCCTTCGTTGAAACTCAGCTCTATCGAACGCGCTGATCAAGTGGTTGGCCATCCTCTGATCCTCGGCGTTGTTCGCATTGAGATTGAAGAAGGTGGCGATGGATCTCGAATTGCTGCTCTCGCGTTGGGGCTTGACGGCAGAAGGCGGCGGTCGCTTACCGGTAGGATCGCTAAGCTGGTGAGAGTTAAAGAGATGAATCTCGACGTTCACAAGATTTCGTGGGTTATAGGCGGCTGGCTTCCGGTTGCGTTGTTGGATACATCGAAGGCATACCCATACACGGTCTTTGCCGTCGCGTGAAATATCATACCCGAATTTCCATACCCACGACCACGCTGGCCCCTTGCGTTCAGTGAATAGGTAGCCGGGAAATCGCTTGAAGAGAAAGGCCAGGTCTTCTTCAGTACGTGTAGGAACCGCGGCGACGGCAGCAGATGCTTCTGTAGCCATTATGGTGGCAGGTAGGCCAGAATGCCGAGCTCGTCAGAGCTTGAGCTGCGAATTGACTGGGATTAGGGCGGTGGGAGTTCTGCCGATGCCCTGACCGCTTCATGTTAGTGTTCACCATACAAATTACTATTAATCACTATCACCTGCTAAGAAGGACCCACTATTCTGGAATGTCTGCAATAATGGATCCACGTTGCAGAGGGCCAGGTTGAATTGCAGGGGTTTTGGAAGCCTTCAGTTGCATTGATTTATGTGGGGCGTTGCAGCTGCAATTCAACTGCAATGTGTATTTCCGTGTAATTGCTCCGGACCCTGGGCGTAGATGTTCCGACAATAACCGCTGGCTGAAGGAACAATGGATTACCTACCTAAGTAAAAACTTGGTGTTCTAAAGCCTTTCAGGGGAATGAATACATGTAGGCAAGGACTAGCTAAATATTATAGGAGATCAATTTATTTCCCTCGCGGTTTGTGCGCTGCTCCAACGCCAACGCGTGGCTCGTGGCTCCTTGATCCATACAATTCCCATGAGTCCGCCAGCAGGAGAACCGCTCCTCATTCTCAGGTCTTAGGTTCAACAAAAAGTAACCAACCCGACGATTCATGTCTGCTCCCTCACTAGCCTAGGCACATGCAAAGACCAAACCAATCATCGCTCTAAAATGCTTATCTGGGTCGTCGTCTGCCTCATCCAGATTATCTGTGGCTAATGTCAATGTTCGATAAGATACTGAAGCTAGGGGTTGATGTCCTAGCTCTCCCAGTGGTGCACGTGCTATCGCCGGACGGTCCAATGACTCTGGACAAGGTGCGTTACCGCCATCACGGCTAGCCATATATATACCGAAATTCGAGCTTCCTGGTAATTTTGAAGGCGTTGAGTATCGTCCTAGGCATCTTCAAGGATGGAATTTCCTTGATGTACGCCGTAACCGAGACTGCGACACTCCGGAAAGGCCGGGGGTTGCCCCAGCAGTAGCTGAGTGCTGGCGTAGCGGCCTTCCTCGCCGTCGGTGACTCGGAGGCGAGCAGATCCCGGGACGCCTAGCGAGACCTCAACTAGCTTGGTGGGCAGTTTGACCCTCTCATTGTTGAGGCATGAATCGTGCAGCACGGAACACTCAAGCAGCCCAATTGCTGCGAACTCTACGCACTCTGCCGCTCGGGACGCTCCAAGAAATAACCGTGGTATGGGGAATACTGAGGCGGATCTCCTGAAATGCAGGTCTGTTCAATAAACCTGTTGGAAGTTGTGGCACTTGAGACACGGAAGCCTGGTTGCCGATGCGCTTATGTTAGATGGTTTCCAGGGGTTGAACAAGAGGCTATAAAAGGAGGTCAGGGCGGTGCCCGCCACGGAGGACGAAGATAGAACAACCTTCAATTGATGACTTCTGGGATGCTCCGAGGATCCCAACCCACTGTTGTAAGCTTCAAAACATTTTGTGTGATAACCGTGGAATCGTGGCTGTTGGTCTTCCAACAAAACCCTTGGATAACCGCTAGAGTTTTGCATGGCGAATTACCATCCGTCGTATAGAGGTACCAAAAGCTATTATGCTGCCTTGCGTTTCGGGAACTTGCGGCCCGTGGACTCAATTCTCAGCCGGCCAATGTCCATTCTGTACTCGAAATATAACCCCAGCTCATCGTCTTTCTGTGGTTTCGTGCGTGGCCATTTTCCCTTGCGGCAACGTTCATCGACAATCACGATGCACTGGCGGAGCTCATAGCCCATTCCGCAGCTTTCGGAAGAGATATTTTTCAGCACTGAGTGCCTCGTCGTCCCCAATCTCCGAGCTGCCGATCGTTGCTGGGCCCCCCTCGATGGAGCTGGGCTGCTGTGGGAAGAAGAGCAGCCAATAGGCTGCACAGAGTGCCAAAGGCGGGAACTCATGAAACGTTGCCATTTCGTCTGTGGTATGTACGAACTAACGAGAAGGAAAAAGACGCTCGATATGATGGTGACTCGGAAGCTCAGCTGCTTAGCTGTAAGTGCGTTGCTGTTGGATGTATAGTCGCCAAACTGAGCATTAAGTACCATGAGAGGTAAGGAAGCATGGGGCTAGGAAGCGAGGTCAAGGCGAACCCCCACCCCCCCTCCCCCCAAACAGGGGATAGCGGAAAGTAAATGGGAAGAAAAAAGCTTCTTTGTTCTGAAGCACTCTAAAAGAAGCCTTCATGTTTATGAGCACCGTGGATTTGTGGCTCTTGGCTTTCCAGACCCAAAACAATAAAAGCTCGGGTCCAGCTACATATTGTGAGGTAAGGTAGCAACATGAAGGCCCGGTCGGCTGCAGTGAGGAATGGCACAACACCTGCAGACTATGAATGGCTAGGAAGGTTACTAATACCCCAAGGTCCTAAAGGCCTTAGACCTTTCCTAGGTTGGTTGGCCCCCTGGCCGTCAACCACTCCCATTCGGAGATTCATAATAACCCCAACCCCAAGCCATTACATGTCCGCCTAGCTAGGATACGATACATGACATTGGGCCCCAGCCGGAAACCTCATGTCAATGTTCATTAACCAGCTGCGGTGGGGGCTGCCTCGCAGGCATGGTAGCGTGCCAGGCGTTCATAGCCCTCAATATCTTTGCTTCGCCTCCAGCGCCGGAGATAATACAGGCACCAAACGCTCTGCCATTTGTTTTAGAATAACCAAGTGGCATGGTGCCGACAGGGTACCCAGCGGCGGCGGCGATGGTCGGGATTCTACCGTCCATGGGGCCGATGATGACGTCGAGGTTGTAGTCGGCAAGCGTCTTGTCGATACCGTTAGTGCGGGCGGCCTGCCGAAGGATCTTCACGCCTTCGGCGTATTTTTCCTTGGTGAGCTTGTCGTTGAGTGCTCCTTCCAGTAGCTGTTGACCAGGATGGACTAAAGAGTGTTAATTAGATTCATTTTGTGCGAGTGTCTTGGTTTACGTACCGGACGGGAGGGCAACATCTGCGTGGTCGCTATTAAACTTCACCAACTCGGCCAAGGTACGGACAGGCGTTTCCTTGTAGCCGGCGAGAAAGTGATTCCATGCCGGCTCAAAGTCGTGATCTGGAGGTCTCGGTTAGTTGTTGTAGCCATTTGCAATAGGATGGCCATGGATACGTACTCCATAACTGCTCGAGAGCGTCCTCACCATCGAGGACCAACTCGTCCATGGATGTGAGTGGCACTGGCTGTTCGACAACCCCCCCTTTCTCCGAGATTATGTTTGCGGCATCGGCAAGCCCACGGCGCTGCTGCTCAATAAGGACCCCGTCAGGATTGCAAATAAAGGGCACAAAGCTCCACAAGGTGGGATCAACGAAGCCGACTCTTTGTCCCCCCCACGCATCGGTGGCGGCACGAGCGGACAGGTCAGTGTCATTCAACAAGATCCCCAATAGGTTACCAAGGTCCCTTGGTGTCCGCGCCATGCCACCAATGCTGTCGGTAAGAGGACTCCAAGGGGCTGTTCCCTCGGTGGGGATTAAACCGACGGTAGCTTTTAGCCCGTAAAGAGATGCCCGGGTAGCGGGCTGCACGATGGATCCATCGGTTTCTGTAGCCAGAGCAAGCGGGGCAAAGCCGGCAGCCACGCCAACGGCACTTCCGGACGATGAGCCGGCAGGGGTCTGAGTCGTGGTGAGTTAGTCTTCCGACTGCCTCAAAGCAGGGACGTACCGAATGACCAAGGAGCTTCTCTCCGGGTGCCACACCCCCAACGACGTAGGGCGTTTGGGTTTGGCCACCCAGGGCCGACCAGCCGGTTGTAATGCCGAAGCCTTTCCATCCAGCCATCTCCTACACTGCGGTCAGTCACTAGTGGCTCTGACACGATGCCCAACTTTTCACTTACCGAAAGGTTTGCCTTCCCAATGATGATGGCGCCCGCTTTAACCAACTTGTAGGTACCATCACTCGTCAGCATTACCGTGCGTGGCTGGGGACCGATGAACCAACCAGATCGACAATTGGGGCATTCTTTTCAGCCATGGCGGCTCGGAGGGCGACCGAGCCGACCGTTGTGGGCAATTGGAACTCCGGTCCGGTCATGATGTTGTCCTTGACGGTGATTGGGATCCCATGTAGCGGGCCACGGATCTTACCCTCGGCCCTTTCGACGTCCAGATCCTTGGCGATGGAGATAGCGAGTTCCCGGGGGGTTGTGTTAATGATGGCATTGAGTTTGAGGCCATCAGTATTGTGCTTATTGATCTGATCAAGAGATGCTTCAACGATGTCGACAGACGTCAATTTTCCGGTCCTGAGGAGCGCCTGTAGCTCTGCCGAATCCGTAGTAAGGACGTTAAAAATGTGATTTCCCGTCATGTTGGCGTAGAGTAGCGGGGGTGGATAGTCGAAGAAGCTGGTGGTATAGAATTGCCGCCTCGAAAAGTTGGTGTGACCAAGTGTGCGGATTGCGGATACTGTTTGCAAAGCCGCCGTAAGAGCGAGGCGGCGCATTCAAGAGAAGGTACCTCGAAGGCTGCGGACTAAGAGTGGCTGAGTGGGCTCTCGTCAGGACGAAATTGGGCAGACTGTGTCGAGGAAAATGCTAAGCATTGGGTGCAATGCCGACCGACCCTAATGCACTCAACTCGCTCAAGTTTGGAGGCAACAGAGGAATGGTGACACCTCGCCCAACATGAGAGTGGGGAGGAGGTTTATTGACGAGGGGAAGGATGAGATAGGTACAAGGTTGATTTGTACCCGAAACATTGGCTCAGTGCGAGAGACCACAACATCCCGCGTTGCACCTTCTTGGGCGAGCCTCAACCATCCAATCACACCCGGAAGATAAATGAGCCGGAAAAGCAAGAATGTCCCTCTCGGCGGCTCAAAAATCCCAACCGGCAACAACCCAATCAGTGCACCTTGTAGCATGCACGCCGCCGCCACACCGCGCAATAACGGAACACATCATGCATCATGCGCACATTCCGCAGCCTTGTCCACCACTGGTTTTGATTACCACAACCTTTTGCAAATGCCATAAATGGCCAGCCCTTTGGCGATCGGTCGAAGGGCGGGTGGGCGGAGCCGCTGCGCGTTGACAGACTAGACCCGAGCAATCAGCATCCAGTCACCAGAGTGACCAGACCGTGACGTGACCACTGACCAGCCTTAGACACCTCCCGAGTCCGGATTCCCATTGTCTGTCGCTCTAAACCAGAACTACGCATAGTCTTGGGCAGCAGAATAATATCGATATGGGGGTAAGCCACAGGGCCGAACTCGTTTTCCTCCGAAAGGAACCGCGCTATCAACACGAAAAGCCATACCTTGTGCTCTTGCCGGAAGGAGCAGCCGTTGACCCCTCGACCCCTCTTCACAACCTCGAGTTTGAGGAGAAGGAGGTGCAGGTGCTCGACATCAGAGATTGCAAGGACGCCTACCATCTGGAGGAATGCGGGTTTGAGTACAAGTCCCACGCAACTCAAGTTCGGGGTATCTTTGGAGACGAGCCGACCATCCAAGACGTGGCTGCCTACAAGAGGGAGACGGAGGAATTCCTTTTGAAAGCCTTCGGTGCTGCAAAAGTGGTCTGCTATGACCTCCGGGTAAAGAGTCTCGCTGGTTTGGCGGTATGGTGACTCAGCCAGGATGATCGTTAACAGGGTGCCAGCTCAGGGAGAAAAAGACGTTTGCCCGCGAAGTGTTTGACATTAACGACCCTTTGCTCGTGGAGGGACCAGCACTTGGCGCACATACAGGTAGGGGAGGAGGCAACCGTCACTCACCTTCAGCCCGTATATCCCGACCGTGGGGTAATAATGATGATGGGCTGACGGGGACTTCTCACCAGATATCACGGCCCGCTCGGGGCCCGAGATGATTCGGTATCGCCTCAGCCCGGAGGTTATTGACAAGTATCGCACCCCAGAGTACAGATTCCGGATTGTGAAGTGAGTTAGTTCTAGCCACATGGCTATTACCTTCTCCCTTTGAGCTCTTCTAAGACGCTGCAGCACTTGGAGGCCTCGGAACGAAGTGTGTCAGGACAACCCGCTTGCCGTTTGCGACTATCGGACTGTGGTTGCAGAGACAGACCTCATTGCTTGCGACCGTGTCATCCCAGAACGTGCCGGTGAGGTGTACTACATCCATCACAACGAAAACCAGAAATGGGTACAGGCCATTGACTCCCGTTCAGACGGCCAAGGGCCACTTGGCTAATATTCGTTCAGTGTTTCCTCAAAGACCAAACTTTGGACGAGCTGGTGGTCATGTTGATGTACGACGAGGAATCTGGGCATCATGCAAGATGTGAGTTGGCACTTGTGACAGGACTCACGGATGGGTCTAGTCCCTTCCTGATGAAAAGAACAACAGCTAACGTTTCGTGGAGATTGCCCACACATCTCCATCAAGGAGAAAGACGTCCCATCTGGAGCACCGCCGAGAAGAAGCGTGGAGACGAGGTCCATTGTGATCACTGCGAGGTCGGAGGAGGACAAGCATTTTGGTTCTTGACATTGTGTAATTTGTGTTTGGCTTTCTGCTGAGCGAATGTCTGGGACTAGGCGGCTACGGGGAAAGGAGACAGCATAGAGCATCCTTGTCACAACGAATCGATAGGTAACGACCGTCCTCAAAGCAAAAAACGTGTACCACAAGACCATATCGGCGCTAACAACAGCGAGGCGGACGGCAACCCGGAACCTGCGATGGAGTCAATAAGTCAGTGGCCGAGTGTTCCCCGTCATGGAGGCCGCTTGAATATGACCACCTACCCGTACGGTGGTGGGTAAACACTTATTGACTTAGTACCCACCGAGGCCGTTCGTGCCGTTATCATGATTGGCGTAGGGCACAGTGACGACCATCTTCCCATCAGCGACCGCGGCAGGTCGGAACGCAGGGTAAAACTTTTTCCAAGGCTGCTCCTTCTCCCGCTGAGACGGATAGGGAGATCTCAGAGCCGGGCCGCTTCCGGCATCAGACGAAGTCTGTGTCGTCAGCGACTCCATGCTTGGCGACTTAGTAAGGGCTTGTTGAGAGGTCTCCATGATATGTTTGTGAAGTGGTCGTTGAGTAGTTGCAATGCTAGGGGGAGGGGTGTGGATTTGTTATGTGGTTGAGGCTTGCAGAAAGACAAAAGTTGTTGGCATTCAGAGTTGACGGGAGTGATGCACCTGAAAGTTCAATACTGTGGGAAGAAAGAAGGCTGAAGAGACGGTTGGGGATGCGACGTTAAATGAAGTCCCGAGTGCTGACGCTCGGTACATTGCAAAAGCGGAGAAAAGAAGCACAGCAGCCATCAAGTGCATTTCTGCACAATGCCGAATGTGGTCACGAAGCCAAGTTCCTCAGGTTGCCTGGCCGAACCAGCCTGGAACTGCATGAGATAGTGGGACAGAGGGGGGCATGTACAAGTACAAAGTTACCAAGTGCCGCCGTGGTGTGCCTTGCTAGGCCACAGATGGGAATGCGGTCTGGCAAATGGGGCCACGTTGAGCCAATCGCAAAAGTGTTCAGTATTTTGTCCTACGAGGAAGGCACGCTGGCTCGCTGGCACGCTGGCACGGCGGCTCAACAGGCAACATTTCGGGGTCTTCGAGATCCCCGCCCACACCCGGTCCTCGACTCCTTCGCAAACCGCAAACCAGCGGGCACCGCCACACACACACACACAAGTTGGCTCGCAACGTGTACCATCAAGTCGCTCAAGTGCCAAAGAAGATATCCAACCCGCGGCCGGGAATTAAAAAGAGAAATCTGGAAGCAATCTAACATTGAAAGCATCGCTAACAACCTGCGCTCATCACGTCAACATTGAACCTAAAGCAAGTCTGTCTCACCGACTAAGTTGCTCAGAAACTCGGGTGCACGATCCAATGGACAGACTGCCGCTTAGGCCCCTTCGTAGCGGGACAGGAATACAGTCTATAGAGAGCACTGCTGGCAGCCTCGGCACGGCGGAATCCCACCCGGATGACCTCGGCCAGCAAAATGATCTGTAAGATAATCGCTGTGATGCGGCACCGCTGTAACCTGCATGGCAACTACCTACCGACCTACCTACTAACGTTATGTGGAGAAATGCCAAGTTGCTCTCGGAGAGATGGAAGGATGCTGTCAAACAAGCGAAGTCCAGGTTGACAGGGTTGGATGAGAGTTACTGGAGAACAATCCAGACTTTTGGGTCCCACGACGCCCTGGTAAAGGATTTAGAGTTGCGGAAACTGGACACGGACGCGAACAAGCGATCGCTCTATTCCAAAGCCCGCTCGTACGTACTGGTATCCTGGCTCGTGGGGATTCAAACTGGCTAACTCCCGTTCCTAACCAGCGTGGTTGTTCCGTTTGTCAAGACTGTGAACTCGACAGCTGGGGTGTTCATTTTTGCCTTGGGGCCGAACCACGCCCCAAAACTAGCCATGATCTGGGGCTTGGTTTACTTGACCGTGACGGTAGGTTCACAGGTCCTCTGGAACGCCTTGAATCCCTTTAACTCGATGTCCAATTCCAAGATGTCTCTCGACTCGGGAGAATGGAAGCGTTTTGAGGAGAGATTGGATGAGTTACGCCAGAGCCTGACCATCTTGAACCTGTGCATCAGTCGACTAAACATCTCCGAGTCGGCACGAGTAGAGGACCGAGAACTGGTTGGCACAGCAATCTACAAGGTTTTCACCTCGTTGATCGATTTTTGGATCGAGGCTGTGAAGCGCCTTCAGTCGCACCAACTCGGTGAGTGATTGCTAGTTGCTACACAGCGAAATCCAGACCCAGCCCGCCCGCTGACGGAAACATCAGACACCTCAGGCTTCAGGGGAATGGACCTGGAGTATGAGAAGTCTATGAGGCATCTCAAATCATCCATCAACACGCTCAAGGTGTTATCTGAACTTGACCCCTCTTCTTACTCGGCTATGCAACAGGCGAAGTTGGAGCGACAAAGAGCCATGTTCTCAGCTCCGTCATACGATGACGATCCCGTCGAATACCCCGTCACGTTGCTCCCACAAGCCGTCACCAATGCGGCATTTTATGGCCGAGATGAGGTCTTGACTGGGATTGAGAGCTTCTTCGAGGAGGACGCCAGCACCCCGTCCCTCCGATCCGTTCTTCTCCATGGGACCGGGGGCGTTGGCAAGACACAGACGGCGATGAATTTTGCCCACACGCGGCACAAGAAATACGACATCATCCTGTGGGTCAGAAGCGAAACACCATTGTCGCTAAGCGCAAGCATGACTGAGATCGCGAAAAGCCTCTCCTTTCCGGGATCAGAGTCTCCTGGCAGTGACGAAAGCAATTTGATCAACTTCCACAAGTGGTTGAACAAGCGGGCAGTGAAAAAGATGGGTGAGTTGTTGACAGGACGGGATGAAATGGATGTTATCGGCTAACGGTAAAATCCTAGGATGCCGGTGGCTCGTGATATATGATAACGTTCAAGCAATGGACGACAATTTGAAGCGTTACATTCCAACTACACAGGGCGACATCATTCTGACTAGCAGAAACCGCCGCGCGGCATACCAGCAAACTAAGCTCATCTCCATGAAACCATTCTCTGATGAAATGGGTGGCCAGCTGCTCCGGCAGCTCCTGAGGGCCCCGGAGACGCAGCTAGCAACAGAAGGCGATAAAGAAGCCGCCACTTGTCTAGCTCGAATGGTTGACGGATTGCCGCTTGGAATTCGACACATGGCTGGCTTGATGAACGAGAGGGATGAACAGTCCGCGTCCGACTTTATGAAGCTCTACACGGAATACCCGAGAGAGTTGATGATGGAGGCCGCTCCCGCGGTTGATTACGACAACGATATCGCGAGATCGCCGGGCGGGGAACACCCCCTCGACCGTATCTGGACTATCAGCTTTGGCTCTCTTGCGGATGCTAAGCGCACCCTCCTGGGCATCGCATCATTCTTGAACCCGGACCAAATTCAACAGTATCTTTTCGGTCCAACCGCTCTCAAAGAAAAGCCGACAGGAAGCTCGAATTTGTCCCTGGTTTGCGGGCCGCCTTACAAGTACAGATCTATGATCCTACTTTTGCCCTTTGATCGTTAGGTACATGAACGAAAGGTACCCTTCCCGCTGACCATTGGCTATAGGTTCGACAGCGCCATCGTCGGCTTAGTCAATGTTGCACTCGCCGACCGTAACTCTGATCATTTCTCAATCCATCGCCTTGTACAGGACGCCTTCCGATATTGGTGCAAAGAGGACGAAGCCTACAAGCATTTCACTGCCGCAATCCATATTGTGCACCAGTTCTTCCCACGCCAAGTCAACGGGCGCCCAATGCACGAGTCCTGGGACAAATGCCGGGACTTGATCCAGCATGGCCAAATTCTAGCAGAGAGGTTTGAGGAATTGCAAACAAGGTTCCCTGAACGGGAGGCCCCGGCCGAGTTGACAGAACTGCTGAAAAGCTGTGGCTGGTATCTCTTTGAGATGGCGGATCACCCAACTACCCTCAAACTTTTAGACACAGCCATCAAAGCCTGTCCTGACGAGCAGTCGGAAATCTATGCGCATTTGCTCAACACCATTGGCTGTTGCAGTTTTGAGCTGAGCGATCTAGGACGTTGCCGCCATGTGTGGAACAAGGCTCTCGCTATCCGTGAGGCATGGGCGAAGAAAAAATCGCCCGGCGCCGAGGAAGAGTGGGCAAACCAGCTCAATAACTACGGCAACCTTGAGTCAGCCGAAGGGAACTACGAGTCAGCACTGGAATACTTTGCCAGGGCCAAGGAGATACGCCTTCGACTCGGCAAAGACGCCATTGTACCACTTGGAGTCACGCACATGACAACCGGCCGCGCCCTGTTCTTGTTGGGAAAGTATGAAGAGGCGATCGCCGAGTACAAACGAGCGGAGGCCATCTTTCTCGCCAAGTTTGGCAAGGATGCACATTTCATGGCCCAGTAAGGCTTACCTGACTTCCCCTCGGAAACCTGACACTACTACATCTACCTACGCGTGATTACGTACCTATGCTGACACTTCCTCACGACAGCTTGAACTATGCTTACGGGAACCTAGAACTGGCAAGAAATGACATGACCACAGCGAAAGACTTTTACACAGAGGCCCAGCGGATCCTTGAAGAGGACACGCCGCTCCACCTCCTCCTCGCCGCTTGTTACTATAAACTCGCAAACCTCTCGGGACGCGATGGCAACGAAGAGGAAGCATTGTAGGTACCCGTTCCTCCTTTGGACAGAAACAGCCCATAGACTGACCCATACCCTTCCGCCTTTTCCAGGACACTTTTGGACAAGGGACTAGCGATAGCGGAATTCCGGGAGGGAAAAGGCGATGCCGCGCGCATCATGAGTAAAAAGGCCGCCATTCTATCCAGCCGCCAGTCCACGGAGGACCACAGTGCCGCCAAATCTCTTCAGTACCAGGTCGAAGATATTGCCCTCAACCACTTCCAACATACCGTCTACGTCCTTGAGAATGGTGAGGAGGCGGACTGGGATGCCTGGGTCTGTCCCTACTGGCGCTAAGCTGCTAGAATGGTGCTAGATGCATCATGCATGGCGTTGGGGCAGATCATCGTATTGGCATCATTATCATTGATAGCGACCAGTTACATAGGTAGTTACACCGCAAAACTGACAGCACTGCGTTCCTCCCGGACCCTGTACCTCCCTGCCTGATCCTCCATTTTTAGACTGTGTGGAAGCCCCGTTTACAACAGCGGCGCGTCCCCTCAGGAGTTTCCACCCTGCCGGGCAATATCTATCTGTAAGCCAGATAGCACGGTTTGGGTAAAGGACAGGATAATGGAAAAGCCGCCAAAGAAGATGACGGCCCAAAAAGTCCAGAAACGGTGCGTATCACGCCGGTCGTACCACAGCGCCTTGATACTGTTCGGCGACTGCGAGTTGATGTAGCGCTGGAGCGTGAGCAGCCTGTTGCCAAAGGCCGGAAAGTCGGATTCGGCCGAGTAGAGCACCTTCTCAGGGAAGGCGTCTATGGCTGCCCAGAGCGGGTGGTTGTTTGACGAGGTCCCACACAACTCGTCCAGCAGGGGATCTGTGCCGGTGCCGGGAACGAAACCCGACGGTTTGATTTTCCTGTACAGCTTGCGAGCGCTCCGACCGTGCTGCCCGAATACCAACCGGTAGGTGCACAGGAGTTCGAGGAAGAAGTCCTGTGTGATGGGGCTTCCTGCGGGTCCAGCTCCTGAGGAGGACTCAACATCGTTGGTAGCCCCGTCACTCAGCAACCTAGCGTGGGGTGGGGATTGCGTGGTAAGCGACGTTTCTCGGTACGGGGCTGCTGGGAGGGGCAGGGCTTACCGGTCGAAGAGCAAACTTCCGGAGCATTGGGGGTGCGCCAGCATGGCACAGAAGGACGGGAACCGGAAAAGCTTCAGGGTGGTTGTTCGTGCGTCGAACTCGAGATGGAGTGAAAACGCGTCTACCCAGACGATCTTGATACCGGCCGTTCGGACCATAGCCTGGCAGCTCAGGTTGGCGCTGGAGATGGTATCGCCGAAGCGCAGGTTCTGGTCCTCCATATCTAGCAGTCGAGGCGGTACGAACTGACCAAAACGGTTAAGCAGGGTCTTCAAACGCAGCTCCATGGTGGCCGGCGTGACCGGGTAAGAAGTGGCGACTATAGCTTTGGATCGAAGCCTCTTTGTCGGATCTGACGGGTCGGCCAGGAGCAGTTGGAGTGGCTGATCAGGCGAGTACTGGCTGGGTGTCACGTCCAACGGTGGTGATGTGTAAAGCATCGTAATCTGTCCGATCGTGTGAAAAATGATACGCGAGCACCGCTTTAGATTTCGAAACTCGGTTGTGGACCTGTCGAAGGACCGAATCGAGGAAGCCATGCTGTCAGAGTCCGAGTCGTCTTCAGGGGCGGGGTTTGGTGCCTGTACAGGTTGCATGCCGGTATTGAGTACTCGATGGATATTCCGCATAGACTGTTTGCCGTTGATCAACGATTCAGTTATCAAACACAGCGTATGCATGAGTCCCTTATCAATTTGGTCCGTGTTGCTGAGGTATGGATGAAGTGCAGTATGGGGTGAGTGCGATCCTGTCTCCGTAAACCGAGCCCGGAGATGAGCCAGGTACCAGCTCAAGTACCGTCCTAGGCACGTATGAGTCACTGCGACTGTGGCATCTTGAATGTTGGTGATGCTCGCCAGCAAACGCTGTTCTTCGTGGTTATAAGTGACGCTGGGGATGTCTGTGGGTTGAGGCCCCATCTCTCCGACCTGGAATGTTTCATCAGCATCTTAATCTAAGCGCACCATACCCACAATGACAAACCTCGATGCGAAAAAGGGGTGTATTCTTGGAAGTCAGCGGTTCAGAACCATGAAGCATGCCCTTATTTTGGTTTAAGAGCTGTTAGCAACGCGCTCCAGTTTTCGTTGGTCTGAAGCTAGACACGGCTGGCCAGGGTCTCCGGTTCCTAGTGGGAAGCCAAGTACAAAAGTTCGATTTAAGCTGGTAGATGAGACGAGACTGGTCTGCGAGAGCGGTGGGGCGGGAGGGCGGAGGGGGGCAGCTGAGCAGGCAGCTGAATTGACAGGCGGCGCAATGGCTGGCCGCCAATAGTTACACGTGCAAGCTTGCAACGTGTAACTATTTCACTTGGCCCCTAGAAGTGTGGAACCGGAACAGAGCGAGCGAAGTACTCTTTCCCGCAAAAAGAGGTTGTGAGAAAGCAGTAGTTGCCTGGAAAGGTACATGCCTGTCCTGTGCATGTACATGTAATAGTTAGGCGCCGTGGCTTGCTCTTTGGTCAGCAAGGCTCTGACAGACCCAAACGCGTGTGGACATGGCTTGCGAGTTAGGGTACGCCCTTGCTAAAAAACAAGTGGGTATCACAGGTCCGAGCGTAACAAAAACCGGGTTTTTGGTTTTCCGAAAACTAGTGGGTCCCGCCCTTTCACGGCTATTTTGGACCCGTACTTGAAGGGGCATCGCCCCACTCGACCTTCCCGGTCCTCTGAAAAACCCCAGACAACAACCAGCAGGCCGCGGAGAGCGAGCGGCGAGAATGAAGGTCACGTGACCTAGTGTTGTATGACGTGACCTTCCAAAATCGCTTGGGAAAAGCGTCCCCCCCCCCCCCCCCGCGCGTGGGCGTGTCTCGTGGGTGCCCAGCTACTAACTACTTTGTACCTACCTCACAGCCACGGGTGTCAGCCTCCCGAGCTTTCTCATCCTCCTCATCCTCCTCATTCTCTTCCATGCTCTTTATGCTCTTTACCCGACTACCATGGGGGCTACTGCAATTGAAGATGCTCGCATACGCGCAGCCCTGGAATAATAACTTTCTGAAACTGGGCCGGACCAGTACCCCAGAACACAGTCAGGGCTTATAAACCTCAACAGCGAGAGTGGAAATGTGCGCTGGTCCCTCGACGACCTTTTAGATCTTGAACTTTTCCTTTGCTAATTTCAAGAACGTCATTGAAGGAGTGGTGCGCCAAGAACTGGGAGCCGATCCCTGAAGATTGGGCTACCGGACAGTCAACCTGGCCGCTAGGGCGACCACTGCCTGGCGATCTCGTCGATGAAGGCAAACTACTACTTTTCATGAAGACGGAGGTCATAAGTCGAGCACCCTGGAGAAGGCCTCGACTTCAGAAGCAGAGGAAACGCCGCTTGGATGCTGCTGTGGCAGTAGGACAAGTTGTCGCCGCGAAACGGCGCCGGCGCGAGGAGAGTTACGTTCCCCAGCCGACTTACTAGCCCCCACCCCTCCACCCCTCTCCCCTCCCGTCCCGTCTATGCTCCCTTGCTAACCCTTGCGGCAGGCGAGACCATCGAAGTCGCTACTGCTCCGGCGGCAGCGGTAGAGACCAAGGTCGAGGAGGAGGACGAGCCCTTGATCGCTGCGCCGGCTCTCGAGCTCGCCTACAACTCCGTGCGTATATATATCGCAGCGATACAGAGGCTGTATGACGAGCAGAAAAGCCGGCACATTAACCCCGCGCCTCGGCCACAAGGGATAGCTCTTAAAGCTCTGAAGAAGAGTATCCTCGCCGTCGTCTGGGCTCGCAAGCGCAAGGAGTATTCGGACCGTCTCGAAGGGACGATCAAAGACACTTATACAAAGGCACAAATTCCGCGACACCACGAGGTTGCGTGGCGAGAAGACAGTGGCGAGATCTCGTGCCTTTTCCGGACACAGGTGGACTTTCTGTTTGGCAACCACATGCTCCTCCGGCAGAGCAATCGCCGGCCCATGGAGCTCCCTGACTGCTTTCGTCTAGAGCTGCCCAACGAGGGCCAGAAGTCGAAAGAATTTCCAACGTATGCCCTCGTCGTCGTCATGAACCAGGGCAAGACGAACCAGCACGGCCGGATGGAGTATGGCGCGGCTCTACGGCACCGCGACGCCCGTTGCTGCCTTGTCAGCGCATTAGCCTTTTATCTCTTTTGGCGTTGGCAGGTCGAGCAAGTAGAGCCGTTTCCCACCTTCCAGTGCAGCGAGGACTGGTACGATATCAAGGTCTTGCGCCGGTCGGCAAAGGAAGCGACGAAGGAGCTTTCGGCTCAGACCGCAAATTCGTGGACGTCGAGGCTGTACGCCGCCTGTGGCATCAGGACTTCTAAGATTTCACATGCTCCTCGGGTTGCAGCGGCACAAAACGCCGACATGGACGGAGTATCAGAAGGACAAGTAAGTCGAGAGCGCGCTTCCGATTTCTGGTCTTTTTTCACCATCTTGTTATTATACCTTGTTTCCATGTTTACGGGCGGAGACTGGACCCAGTTGTTCACGCCTCCTCCTGGCACCGTTCGTCTACTTCCAGTCCTCCCTGTTGTGTGATCCCTACCGCTTGGCCCGACTTTCTATAGAGATGCTGATTTTTTGTGTAAACTAGATACGGCGCGCGGGTAGATGGAATAACGGTGACCAGTTGACAGGGTGTTACCTGACCAGTTTACCCTTTGAGTTTATGAGGTCTACGGCTGACTTTGACCCCGACTGGTCCGGGTCATACTTCCTACCGCGGGACACCGTCAAGCCGCCATTCGAGCTTTGTGCACGCATCTGGCCCTCTCTCGACAGGTGGAAAGAGATATACAATACAGGATCTTCGAACATGGAAACGAACAAGGCTACCGGCGCGTTTTTCGAGCTTCTCGACTGGTTCCGAGAGGTGTTGCTACAGGACGCCGTCTTCCTCCAGAAGCTATACCCCCGGCATCCTCTATTTCAGGACCCGGTCTTCCAAAGCCCACAGTTTGCATCGTTCGCACTGCAGGTCGAGAACGCCTGCCACGCGGCCGAGGAAGACAGTTATGTGGCCACCATTGATCGAGCCATCCCCGCCGTCGCCGAGAAGCTACGCGCCCTATCGAGCCAACAGACTGCCGCGAACCTCTGGACCGAAAGGGCGTTTGTCGAGCTTAGGGAGCAGGTTCAAAGGCTGGAGAAGAAGATGGAGGAGCTTGCCAAAGCCTCATACACCATTACGATCAGCCCGGGGCGGAGTACCGTCACACAACGGGTCGGGATGCCAAAGCGTGGGCGGCCAAGGGCGCCGGGCCGCGCGCCGACGGCGACGGCAATGACAACGGCGCCACGAGATGACAGCACCGCTCCCGTTCCACCATCTTCTTCCAACGCAGCAGAGGCAGAGTGCGGGGCCGTTCTGCAGCCTGATACAGCGACTCGGCTGCCGTTGCCACCAGTCGCGCCCAGCGTGCCCAGCGTGCCCAGCGTGCCCAGCGTGCCCAGGTTTGAGGTCCCTTTGGATATTCGACGTATCCCGGATTTGTGGCACTTATGGAGGTATGGGAGGGCTGGCATGCCTTCAGTAGAGTCACTAGAGGCCAGGTATGGCGCTGCTTGGCGCCCCAAGTCGCAGAAGTCCGTCTTCTGCGGCCGGAAGGCAATTGTGGACTTCATTCTGCGCAAGTCGCGCGAGCGGGACGGCCTGCAGAGCGCGGCCGAACACGCACCACGCGTTATTGCGCAAATGGAGGAGCTGTGCCCCAAATGGTCCCTCGACAAGGTGACGAAAGCTATCAAGAACGGGGATCTGGAGCGGAGATGGCCGGCGGAGGCGTGAAAAAGGCTTCTTTTCTCTAGCCGTGGTGTGGTGGTTGCATGATGGCGGATAGATACAGGAGTTAGTCAGATAGCGAACCTATTTAGGTATGTAACTGCCTACCCTGCCTACCCTGAAACTGCAGTGATTTTATTGCGAGATGCGGAAATCCCATGGTGTTGAATGAGCCTGAAGAGGAGCGAACTAGACTATGTACATTACATCCAGACTTAGCGGGCATGGCACCCTGAAAGATGGGGAAGCCCAGCAGTGTTGAGCCTGAAGAGTAGCGGGGTAGCGGAATCTAGTAGGCATGTGACACCCTATATTCCATTTTTCAGGGTGCCAGGCCCCTGGGTGTAAGCAAAAAAACCCGTGCATCTCAGCAACCACGGCGATGCAGGGCTCGTGGAGTGTACCGATCGATGCGCCTCGTCGAGTCGCATCGATTGACACGGTTTTGCAATGGGATCTAAGGGGTGGCGGTCGCGCAATACCCAGGGCTGCGAAAAAATACATCTCCGGATGGTGATATCAAGGGCTTGGCGGTTTTTTGCGGGGTTCTCCAAAAACGCGCCATACGTTTCTGATACGGGACACTGCATCGATTGCAAATAGTAGAAAAAAGGTCGAAGAAAGAGTTATCTTTTTTAAAGGTGCAAGGCGCCTCACAGACTATTTGCAGAGGACCAAAGTGGGGCGGCCTGGCACGGACTATCTCTAAGTAACTTCATCACACAATGGGGATTCTTGCATCAAATCCCCCCCACAGGAGAAAAAACGCATTGCCCTCAATGCCCTGTACATCCACCGTGGAATTCCTTCGTTCGTCCAATTGACGATTCACTTACTCATTGTGGTGCCGCTGTTGTAGATGCGGGCGTCGCCTCCTCCGAGGCGGGTGTCGGCATCGTCCCGGTCGGCACCAACCGCCGGCTACGCCGTCTACCATCTTTCGGAGGCACCTCGGGCTCCCTGTTTGCGGCGGGAGCTTCTTCCGCTGGAGCGACGTTCTTTCGCGGGCGGCCACGCTTACGCCGCGGCTCGGTGGCGTCGTCGCCGGGTAGTGCCGGTTGGCCTCCTTGCCGTTGCCAGTATTCCTTCAGAAGGCGAGGCGTGTGTCGCAATTCGTACTCTGTCTTCCAGACGTTGTGCTCGTGTCCCCATCCTTTCCATTTAATAAGATATTCGTATTTGCGCCGTGTCACGCGATGGCGCAAAATGACTTCGACCTCGTAGTCCTCTCCGGGAGCGGAATCGGTGGAAGCTTGCGAGTCTTCCACTGGCCCGGGTGGCACGGGGTGTCGGTCAAACGGATCGTTGCCGGGTGGCGTTGGCGACAGATGCGCAATGGAGATAACCGGGTGGATGCCCATGTTCTCGGGAAACTTCAATTCGTATGCCAATCGGCCGACGCGGCGTACAACTTCGAACGGTCCTGTGCGTTGTTGCGAAAGTTTCCGAGGTGGGTTTCCAGGTAGGTGATAACCCTTGTGCAGGCGCAGATAAACCTTATCGCCTTCCCTGAACTCGATGTCGCGACGGTTTGCATCGTACCGCCTTTTCGCGCGGGCGGCTGCAAAGTCCATCGCTAGACGGGCATCCTCCCGAAGCGATTCTCGCATAGATGGGATGTCGCTTTCCACCGATGGTGGTATAGCCAAAGCCTCAAAAGGTCCCGGCAACTTGAATCCGAAGAGCTGCTCGTGCGGCGACGATTGAATTGGTGCGGAGTAACTGCTGTTGAGATTCCATTGCAGTGGGGTGATCAGGTCGGTCCAATTCGCCTCTGGTCGTTCGAAGACAAAGAACCGCATTGCAATTTCGACTGTCTGGTTTTTTCGCTCAGCCAGACCGTCGGATTGCGGGTGGTACGCCGCCGTCATCAGAAGCTTCGTTCCCAGCGACTCCCACATGCCCTGCCAGAATTCTGACGTAAATTTGCGATCCCGGTCAGAAATGATGGCAGATGGAACTCCCCAGTCGGAAAGAAACAATTGTCGCATCAGGACTTGTCCCCATTGTTGTGCCGTGTACGTTGTGTGGCCGGGGATCAGAAGTGTTCGCTTGCTCGACTTGCAAGACACTGTCAGTAAGCTATCGAAACTGACCTTGCCTTTTAGTTGCCACGGTGAGCCTTCAGAGGGCACCGTTGGGAGGCCGACAATGAAATCAATGCCGATGACTCGCATCGGGAGAGTGTCTGCAGGTCGAATTGGCTGTAGAGTGCCGATGGGAGGCTGTCGATCTGTGCTTACAACGTTGCACTGCGGGCAGTGCTGGGCAAACTTCCTGACCTGGCGAGTCTTGTTCACCATTGAGACACCACGAAGATCGTAAAGCATACGGTCAATACCGAAATGATGCTTCTGGTCGTGGACCATGCTCAGCACTGTTTTGACCATCTTGTGCGGAATGCAAATGGATCGCAAGCCGTCTGGGCGAATATTGTAGAGAAGTCCCCCCGTCAACACGAATGGCAGGCCGGGGCGAAAAAATTCTCCGCTGCCCTCAGCGGGTTCGCCGCTGATCAAGTCCTTGATGATGGCGCTGTATTTCGAGTCTTCGTGGTAAGCGGCGATAAACTCGTTTTTCAAGGAATCATCCATTTGCGCCTCTGCCCAGGCGAACATGACGTTGTCGAGAATGACTTCGCCTTCTTCCCGTTCCGGTTTATCCTGCACGGCGGTAAGCCTGCTCAATGCGTCGGGAACGAAGTTCAATCTTCCTGGCAAGTGGAAGACCTTGAGATCGTATTCCGAGAGATAGACTGATGCGGTAATCAGCCGTCGATTCGAGCGGTCGGTTGACGAAGTGTCGAGACGGGTTTGTTCCACAATACCGCGTGTCGAAGAATGATCGGTCAGGACATTGACAGGATGGCGCGACGAATGGATCATTGTTCGAAGTTTCTTGACTGCCCAAACCAGACATGCAACCTCCTGTTCGGATGGACCGTATCGCAGTTCGGCTTTTGTCAGGCATCGGCTAAGAAACATCACCGGTTGAACTTGCTTGGATGGAATGACGGATCCCGGTTTCCATTCGTAGCCATCTTGTACGTGGAAGACCATGACGCCGCAGCCGCGTTCCAAACAGCCGTCGACTTGCAAGAAGAGCGGCTTGTCGGGGTCGAAATGGTACAAGATCGATGGGTTCTCCGCGCAGATAACCTTCTGGATTGAGTCGAAAGACAGACGTTCTGCTTCCGAGGGCTCGAATGTCGTCTTCGCACAGTAGTTGGCTCTCTTTCCCTGATTGCCGGAAACCAGTTGACCATTTTCGCGGCCCTGCGCCAGCAAAGCCGTTTTGCGTTTCTGAAGTGGCTCCAACAGTTGGGCGTAATACGGAATCAGGTGCCGAAGGAAGCCAGTGGCGCCAATCCACTGTTCCAGAGCTTTCAAAGTCTTGGGAAAAGCTAAATTGCGAAATGCTTCCACACGTTGAGCGGTGGTGGTCAGACCCAAACTGTCCACGCGAAAGCCGAGCAGTTCCACGCTGGGGTAGCCGATGAAGGATTTGGTGGGCGCGATGGCGACGTTCTTGTCGTGGAATAACCGAAAGATGCGTTCGAGGTGCTTCAGGTGGTCTTCGGCATCGTTCGAAAAGATAACGATGTCGTCGATAAAGGCACGGGCGTACTCCGCATGCGGCTTAAGGAGCTGGTCCATAATTCGTTGAACGTGGGCAGGCGAGTTTCGGTATCCCATGAGGCACACTGTTGGCTGTTCGAGTCCGCGAGGGCTGATCAACGTAAAGCGATCTCGATGCGGTGGATGGAGGCCAAATTGATAGAAGAACGCTGTGGCGTCGATCGCTGTGATGTACCGCTTTCCTCGCAGACTGCCGATGATCTCCGCTTGCAAAGGGAGAGGGTAGTTGTCAGGGACTGACACACGGTTCAATCCGCGCAGATCGATGACCACTCGACCTTTGGTTACCCCCTTGACCGTTCGCCAGACGACAAAGACTGGATGCGCAAACGGCGTTGCACGCGTAGCCCAGATCATCTTTCCCTGTTTATGAAGACCGTCGAAGATTTCGTCCAACAGCTGACGATCGCGGCGGCTGAGAGGATAAGAACAGGAGCTGACCCGCTGGTTCTGCCATCCTTCCACGAGCGGAACTCGCATGAGCTGTTCAGGCGGCAGTTTTATAAGACCTGTATCCTCCCAGAGCCTCGGGAGCCGTCGCACAAGTTCAGCAAAGCGGGCGGCCAATTGCGAGTTTTCTGCGAAGATATGGACTCCCTCCTTCGTAACAATTTCGGGTAGGTTGTCAACCATCCGAATGCCGAGGGTGGACTGTTTTTCGGGAACGACAGGGAGATCAGGCTGTTCAGAGGTCTGATCATTGATCGGCAGGTCCACCGTCACATCCCGGGTGAGTTGGTAGACATAGTCGCTCACCGGCGTTGACGAAGTGCCGTTATAGTTTTCCACCGTGGGAGCATCAGGCGCGCGCAGGCCGAGGTCATGTTCGGCTACGGCGGCGGTGCGCTTGTCGAAGTCAAATTCGGCGCTGACTGGCAGGGAGTTGGTATTTTGCAGGGCGAAGTTGGCCGGCTCGATATCGCTAATTGTAGTAGGTTTCGCCATTGACATCAATGTCGCGCCCACTGCCATCGTCTTAAAAGCTGTATTCCAGGAACAAGCCAGGAACCCACTGTCGTGGTTCTCGTCAATCTTTCCAACGGGGTATCTCTTCGGGATGGTAATTGTTCCGCGGGAAGTGTTCTTGACGGCTACCACCTTGGGGGTTTTTGCCGTAATGACTGCGTGAAATGCTGCGTCGTGTTCCGCGTTGAAAAGAAACGAACGCCCTTTGGGAAGCGGTTTGTAGTTGACGGGAATCATCGCCTCCTGGTCCGGGAGTAGTGTAATGGCACGAGTTGTCTTCACGCGCCGAACGCAGGGCACCGAATGTACTCGAATGGAGAAAGGTACGGCAAAGTCGATGGCGCGCAGATGTACGATCTTAGTGTCGTAGTCGATGTTGGCGCGGTAAGGATCCATGAAGTCGTTTCCGAGGAGGAGGTTAGGAAGAAGCTTGTCAATTACCCAGGCGCCTCGGGTGAACTTGAACAATGTTTTCTTCCCGTTTTCGACACCAGGAAGATAGAGGCTGAAGGTCGCCCATTCCTTAAGCTTCAAAATGCCTCCTCCAATGCCAGAGACTTTTCCCTCCCGTTTCTCGATAGTATAGTCGAGGTTGCGAAGGAAGTTGCGGCCGACAATCGAACGGCCGGCACCGGGGTCGAAACAGACTTCGACGTCTCCCTTCTTTGGCGAGGTGCGGGCATTCACGCGCAAGTACGTGAAGTTGCCCAGGGGGCCTTCAAGAGGTTTGTCGTCGCCGAGTGTGGGAGCTTCCTTGACGAAGTTTATCTCGCCGAGGTCCTCAGGAGCTTCCGAGGTATCGTCAGGTGCCGGTTCGCGGGCGATCCGAGCCGCGCCGGCTTCGTCGATGCCGGGGTCGGCCGGGCGGTCAAATGTGCCGCTCTTCGCCCCCTGACAATGCTTCAGATGCTTGAACAGGGCGTTGCGGGAGCCGGCCAGCTCCCCGCAGTGCCCACAGGTGCGGCGCGCTGGATTTTGCAGATTGGCTTGACAATTTCGTTGTGAGCGTAAAGGGCCTTTGACTTCGCATGTCTTGACATGGTGGCGTAGCTCCGTTTTATCGTCAAATTCCTTGTGGCATTTGCGGCATGTTCGGTTAGCATCGAAAACAAGGCAGGCGATGTCGACTTCGCTGTCAGAAGGATAGGAAACGCTTGAACTGGCATCCGAGTGGTCAGCATCGGATCCTGAGTCGTCGTCAATCTCTGCGAAATGTACTCGGTCATGATCGCGCTTGCGATCACGATCTCGATCGTCCTTGCGGTAGCGGTCATCTCGATGCTTCCTGTCTTTCTCGTCCCGTTTACCGCGATCATCCCTTTCCTTGTCGCGACGGTCGTAGTCTTTCCGCTGGTCACGATTACCATCTCGGTCACGACGACGGTTATCGCGGTAGCGGTCACGAGGGCGATACTCATCGTCCCGGTAACGTTCCTCGCGACGGCTGCTGCGAGACTGCTCGCGGCGGTCAGAAGATCGGGAGGATCGAGGCCGGTCTTCGACCTTGTCGAGCGACTTCAGGCTGGTTTTGTTCGAGGATTTCTTGACCAAATGTGGATAGTATTTGAGCGCGGCGGAATTGACAATGATTCGAGACTTCTCGATCTTTTTCATATAGTCCGAGAGGCTGGCAAACTCATCTGGTCGAGGGAGGCATTGTTGAATTTCAAATTCCATATGACTCCATATCATCATCATGGCACTGCTCCAGTTAGAATGGTCTGGACCGAGCATGCGTATCGAGCGTGCCCAGCGTAGTTTCTTCTGAACAAATTGTTGTAATGCCTGTTCGTCAGCGGCCACATCGCGAAGGTACAACTTGCAGTCGTAGAAACTCTTGGTCGCGTTGGCGGCATCTGGGCCAAATCTAACAATCAGTTCGTCGAGGATGGCGAGTAGGCCTGCCGACCGCAGTTCAATACGGCGGGCCGCCATCAGCTCGTTGGTCCACCAGAGGATGGCTGAGCCGCCAAGAATGGCTTGGAAGTGCCCTAGGATCTGACGGGATGCCTCCTCACCCAGACTCTCGGTAAAGGTTGCGATTCGGTCGACAAAGCTGTAGACATCAGTGAAGATAAGGTTTTTACCGTCTTGCACGATACCAAGGTCGTCCGGGTCCGGATAGTCAGGATTAAAAATGCCGATTTCTTCTCGCTTGATCTTGTCTGGGTTTCGGCTTGGCTGCGAAAGGATTGAATCGCAAGTGCCTTCGCGTGCGCCACGGAGGTGCTCGCGGTCGGGAGGCGGACCGCCAGGATGGCGATCCCTATGTCGATACGGCTCCTGTGGGGCCGACCGAGACGGCGTCGCAGCCGGCATCGGGGGCCGAGATCCGCTAGCCATTTGGCGATAGAAGTTTTCCGGAGGCGAGGGCTGATCAAGATTGTCGTGGGCGCCCAGTCGCACGCCTTCGGGCGGAATGGCGAAGCCGGATTGTTCGCCTCGTGGAGCGGCGTCGCGCTGTTGAGGACCGTTCTCCAATCGCTGGAGGCGTTTCTCAAATTTGCCCTCAAACGCCCTGAAGCTTTTGTCCATCGCTTCCACGACGGTTGCCGTCATGCGATCCACGAGGGCATCTGTGCGAGCCTCTTGAGCGGAAATCTGGCGATGCAAGTATCGGACAGAGGTCTTGTTGTTGCCGAGCTTGTAATCGTTGCCGTCGCTTCCTCGAAGGATGATGGAGTCGGAGCCACTGTCGGATCCGGCGCGAATTGCCGTGTTTGCTCTTGACCGAGCCGGGGTATCTCCGAAGGCAGAGGTCGCAGGAGGGGCCTCTGCGGCGGTACGATGTAGGTTCCGGATCTGGCTCCGCCGATACGCGGATTGATGCCGAGTTGCTTCCTCCATTTCCGGTTGTTCGATGTCCGGATAGGAGGGGTGCTCCGGGTAGTTGCCGGGCACGGAGTTGTTGTCGCCGTCGGCGCGATTGCCGCTTGGGCCGCCGCCGCCGTGCGACATCGTCGAGGCGTTGGGTATGCCGAGTCGGGGCTACAGGTTCACCCCGTTCGTATGCCGAACGCTGGAAGCCGCGATCGCCTCGAATTTAGCGATCGGGATGGAGGGTTTTTGGTGGTGGTTACGCGCCGCCGGCTACAGGTTCACCGGGGTGCGAGATGGTCGCGATTCGAAATGCAACGATCGGTTACAGGTTCGCCGAACCGTTGCAAATTGCGAATTGCCGAATAGTCGCACGACTTTTACGACTTTCGTAAAAAAAATGGCTGAGGTCGTCAACACTCAGCAGAAGCTACCATTTGATACGGGACACTGCATCGATTGCAAATAGTAGAAAAAAGGTCGAAGAAAGAGTT